AGCGGACGAGGACGAGCATTGCATTGACAGCCTGACCTGCAAAACAACTCGTATTGTGCAGCAAGCAGGGTGAGGGCATGTTCTAGTAGTTCCTATCCTTACCAGCACTACAAGTGCTCTGCAATCCAGCAGGTGAACGGAAACTCTCTTGCAATCCCACTTAGAAACCTTCTTGCACGAATGGCTGAATATAGCCGGAACACTGCAAGATGACAAATCGTGGCAAAGCTGTTGGAAAATGGTCTTGAGTTATTCAGAGCTGATATTCTTAGTGGGTCCTGCAGTCCTCTGCCGGGCTGCTTCCATTCTCAGGACTCCTCCCCCTCCAGATGAGCTGGCATCGTGCTGGCCTTGGTGAAGCAGTCTTGGCAGACTGTTGCCTCACTTCCCCAAACATTTGGCACGTTGCGAAAATACATGAATAATTGAGGATATTGAAAAAAAACAGGGTTGCCGAAGAAAGGTTCTAAGATGTTCTAAGTATTTTCTAGGAATTTTGGCCATAAAGCGTTGTTGGCATTCCAAATGCTGGCACCAAGGAAAGCAGCTGCTTCGCCTGCCGAAGTGCACCTGTGGGAAACGTTTTTTGAACTGCGCATTTGTGATTTTTGTCTATGGCCTCCATGGGCTTGAGATTGTTTGAACGCGCTCTGAACAATCCTTCACTTATCTTGAACCCAATTGTTGTGAAATTTCCATGTGTGTTTCCTTTCTAGCCCAATGAAGTCACCACTCAGTAGCATGAAAATGGAGTTTCTTGCCAACGACTGGAACAGAACAAGAGTTGGAGATAGTTTCAGTATATATAAGGCTGCACGAGTAGGTTTGCCGAGTTGGCGTGCACTTTGTTTGCATGAGTATCCACGCATGCCAGCCGACTATCCAGTCGGCTCACTGGTTCAAGTTCAGCCTGTTCTAGCAGTTCATTGTGTTCGTGCCTTTGGGTAGGGCTACTTGGCACTTACTTGGCGTTCGTCCTAACGGTTTCGCTTTGGTTTATTCTGTTTTCCCTAAGTTAGAAGTGAGGAAGGTAGGCTGTCAACTGTCAACATGTTCTGTAGCCATTGAATTGTGATTGGAGTTAAAGACTGGAAGTATCCTGGTAAAGTGACAAGGCAAACCCGTCGCTATTTAAGATTTTGGTTTCAGGCGTTCACTGCAGAAATTTTCAAAGAACATGTACTTTCCTTGCCCCATATTTTTTTGAATATGTTCCTTGTCCCTAGCTGTTTCAAATACACCCGTGTTTTTTTTTTTTGTATGTGTGTTTTGACATGTCTTGACATCATATCTTCTGCATCCCCAGCCGGATTGAGCCCAACCTGCAAAGTGAGGCACGCGTTGATTATTGGTGGATGATACGCAGAGCCGCTGCGCTCTTCGCATTATGTGCTGGGACAGATGTGCAGGCATAAGTCGGCATAAGTTGTTTCGATGTTTTTTCTTGGTGATGTTTGTGGCATGCAACTTGATGCAACTAGGAGATTTTGAAGTTCAAGTGCTCTTAACTCTGGAGAGCATCTGAATGCACTGAACTCATTAGACTCGACCAGAGAAGATGCAAGAGATTGCAAGAGCAACATCTCAGCACATGTCTTACATCTCCGCAAGTCTCCACATTGACATACGTATATAATATATATCGTATATAAGAGCTTGGATCCGGCGGCATTGAAAATAGATCAGTAGGTCTGCAATTCGTTGTTTTCTTTGGGGCAGGTTCAATCTGCAGTTGGTATAAGGTGCCTCATTGCCATCAAAGGTTTCAGTTCCTTTGCTTGTGATGTCATTCAACATCACTGAATGTATGTCAGTACTGGCTCTCTCTCTCTCTATATATATATATATATATGTCGGCATATCATCACTCCACCTCGGCCCGGCAGCTAAGAAGTGCTGCCAGTTAAGGGCGTGCCGCCGTGCCTCATAGGATTTGAAGCTTGAGATGGTCTGAGTGAAGCATTCTTTTCCCATAGACTTAAGAATTGCAGCTGCAGTCCTTTGGTGCCCCTCACCATGCCCCCCAGCCATTTGCTTCTTTGAGCTCTTCAAGTATGTTGGAAGGTAGTTGACATGTACCGCGCAATGCAGAAACCTGACGGAGGCACGAATATTCCGCAAGGAAAGACACGGGCCGGGTTCAGCGACTTGGAATCAGTCACACTTTCAAAGCTCCGATTATGCATTCACAGAATAATAGCAAGTTAGTTAGCGCTGCTCAAAAGAGTCTCAGGTTTGGATTTCATACTTTCCTAGTTGCCCGCACATATATTTACATATATTTACGCCTTTCATGGTGCAGCCAGTCTGCACAGCTTTTTCTGAGCACCGCCCCGGGGGAGATTTCGTGAATCTGTCCATTCTTTCGATTTCTTTCGTGCCATTGTGTTTGTTGAAAAGGAAAGCAAGAGGGAGAAAATTGGTAGGGTCCTTCAGGCAGTGCTGAGACAGTCTGAATGGATGTCTCCTGCTGATGCCTGATGACAAACACTAACAGTGGCATGCGGTCCATGTCCGCATTGCTGTCCGCATTGCTGCAGCTGTATTATGACATGACTATGAATTCTGACATTGTCACATTGCGCTGTTTGCTTTTGCTTTAATCCCTTCAGGGAAAGAAACGCAGAAAGTCGAAAACAACAACTTAGCCGATGCTTGGCTGCAGAACGTTCTTTTTGAATCGCAAGAAAAGTTCTATAAAATTTAACAGATGATTGCATATTGAAATCAACTGTGTTGCAGATTATTGCACCTGTGAGTTGGCGCTGCTCAAACATTTACTGTAAATCATTCCGCGTTGGCAACATAAGTGAAAATCATGTGTCATAAGTTCGCGCTCTGGAAATTTGAATTTGCTTGAGCCACTTGGTGGCCGGGACAAGCCCAGGATATTCATGGCGTACTTCGGTATATTCATCAGGAGATTCCACGCATGCACGGTACTCGCAATGATGGACCCCCAAAGCGTCCCAAAGCAGTGCTCCATGCATGACTTCAGATGAATGAAGTCATAGTCCCTTTCATGGATAGTGGAGTTCTCAGTTGTATAACATTAACATCGTTGAATCAGTGGATTTCGGCTGCATTATTTCATTGGAAATATGTAGAGCTATAGCATCATGTAGGTGTCCTCATATCATCCGGAGAAGCAGCCGAAGAGTCGCGTGAGCTACAACATGTTCAACTTGTGTCCTTGTATGTTCTTTTATTCTGTTACCTCTTGATTTTATGCTGCAATGAACACCGTTGCGGACAGGAGGTCATCGTGGAACATGCACAGGGTGATCCAGAGCGAACTGCAAGGAGCGCCGGAAACTGGTTCCGGATATTTCCGGATCATTTTGCACAACTAATGATTTATCATTATTATATATATAATTTAATAAATGACACTTGCTGCTGTTGCAGGCGGTTGTTCGCTCCTTTTTTGTTCTTTGACACTCCAGAGGTGGTCGACAACCATCTATAGTTGCGGGATTTGTTCAGCCCAAGGCTGTGCTCAAGGCAACATCTCTGGGCCTTTTGCAGATGTGAAATGTGTCAGCATATTGCTAAGCCTGGCTAAACACAAATAAGACGTATCCGACGCCGACTACACTTCATTGCCAATTCTTTATCGGTGTCACATCGAAGGAAATATGGCATCGACTCCATAGCGTGACAACCTTAGCTTCAGTCAACCTCTATCGCCTTCCAGACAGTCAACTCTGCTTTGAAAGGGCAGTCTACACAAGCTGAAATTAATAGCAAAGATGAACTGAGATAGTTGCATATTGCTCGCACAATGTTGAATGGTGTCGTTATACTGTCCTCCCACATGCAAACTGTATAGACGTGATCCAACATCATTTGACATTTATCCCTCGTGCTGCTATCACTCTGCAAGTAATTATTGCATTTATATAGATAGCATAGGGGGTGCACTGGGGATTAGGCTGCCTAGTTTGAGAGCTTGGATCCTCAAGTTCTTGTGAGCTTCCTGCATTCAGTCATCGCATCCTTGGGATTGCAACATGATGGAATTAAATATATTGAATAGAATGTGTATATATATAATATGACTAACGGACCTAACGGACTTATATTATTTGTTGTTGTTTGGAGTTATTGCAGTTGTGCAGTAGTACAACATGTTCCCTCCCAATCCGGAGTCACTTGTCCGTTTGGGCCAAGGCGCTACAGAGTTCAGGTTAAGAATCCGAGTGGGGTTGAAGCTCCTTTGCACTGCATCTTCAGAAGGGTTGAGGGTGCTGTGACCTGAAGGAGCTAAACAGAGATCTGCCTGATTTTGCAAGACTTGTGAAGACTTGTATTGAATGATGTTGAATGAATGATCCAGCACTGAGTCAAGCTTCTTTCCGGATCAATGTTCAGTGATGTCGAAACTGTCATGGAGCGTCATCAAGCATCATGACACGGAAATGGATTTGCCCAGGCCGGTGCTCCAGTCCCGGGCTTCGGATCAATGTTTTCAGCCTTTGATTTTGGTGTAGCCACCAGTGCCTTGGCATGGTATATAAATGTATATAATTATACAATATTTCAAATTCAACTCTAGATATGACGCAGAGATCCACGGAGAACAATTGTTGCAAGTGTGAAACCGCAGTGGGATGTGTAAACTGTAAACCCGCCTTTACTTTCAGGATCCTGCGGTATGTGCAGGGGCCGACTGAAACATTTATCATTTCAGTATTTTCAGTAGAAGTTCTTCTGCGTCGCCAGATGATGATGCATTGAAGGAGCTGGCCAAGGCCAGGAGCGCGTCCAAAACTGTCACAGGTGTTTAAAGTGTTTGTAGAGCGACGTAGGGCGGTTGGATCCAAGTGCACGACCCGAGGTCGGATTTCCATGACTCAGAACTTTAAAGAGATTGATTCAGAACTTTCCTTGGCAGAATGAGGTAGTTTGATGATATTTGATGTAATATGATGATATGATGATATGATGATATATGATGTAATTCATCAATGTTTCTAAGGTCCGGGTGGGAAGTGAACATGCTCAAGCCTGAAGCAGATCAGGTTGGCGACTTCGTGGGGGTTCAGTTGCACTCACAGGATGATGTGCCTTGGCGGCCTTGGCAAAACTTTGAAATGCAGACCACAGACCCCGTGTGGACCGTGTTTTCAGATTTTTCAGAGTTGCAAACTTGAGGCCTCCATCATTGTGGCCTACCCGTTCCTTGGAAGTCAATGGGCGGTTAGGTCATGAATCATGAAACATGATTGATGTTCAGTTCAGCCTCTAACATACCATGGATCCGGTTGATTATTGTGTCGCCTTTTCCTCCATTCCATCACAGATATTGCTTCATTTTTGCCACCCCTTGCAGGTGTTGCATTGTAACACAGGTCGAAAAACATGAATATAATTGAACCATATTGAATACATGTCCCGGGTTCTGTAACAAGACCACGCTGCCCGCAACCGCAATTGTCATGTTGCCAAGCCCACTCGCCAGGTATTATTGGTTTAGCCTGCCTGGAGCATGCCCAAACCTTCCATGGAAGTGCCTTGTTCTGCGAAACTTAAGGGTTTTGAGCTAGAGAGTCACGCCAGTGGCTTGTCAGCACGCACTGGTGCAGCGCGATTATCCGAATTTGATGCACATCATATCAGCACATGTTTGCATGTGATTGGTTTATGCCCAAATGATAGTAGACCTGTGGCGTTTTAAGAATTTTGCATACTCGCATGATGTTGCATATGGAGGCATAGTAAAGATTATATAGGAATGCTTGAGTCGACAATCAGATCAATCAGAGCTCCAAAATTCGCCCATTTTGCACAGAGGGCGCCACATTCATAGAGCATGATCTAAATCATTCCAAATCATTTTGAGAAAATGTTCTGGTGAATTCTAAGTATACCATAGTATACCTCTTCGTGGAAGCTACCAAAACGTTCCTAGATGATCCTAGATGGCCATATTGAGTCTGGTTTGGTCCCTTGTGGCCCTGAAAGGACATGCTTATATGAATTACATGAATTACATTGAATATCATTGAATAAGAATATAAGATGAATTCAGATGTCTTATTAATTCTTATTATGACTTATGATATTTTCACTTGACTGCTTCATATTGCATTTGTGAGCCGAGGTGCATCCCCGGTGCTAAACAGACAGCCTGTCAAACCAAGCGGTCTGAACTCGAAGTAATGCCGCCAGTTTGTGCTGAGCCCAAGCTGTTGCACCACCACTGCAACTCACAGACTTAATTTGGGACCATCGAAATGGGGCAACAGAACATTGGAAGCGAAGAAACGAATAGTCAAATAGTCAGTTGAACCAAGAGTGAACTGTTGAGATTCCGAAAGTTGGCCAATGTTGGCCCTTCGAAAAAATAGGTTGGCTGGTTGCTGGCACAGGTTTTCAAACGTTGAATGCTGGGAAGTTTGTTTGTCTCCAATCCTTGACCCAACATGTTTGCAAGGTGCTGATAGTGGATGTGCTGGCAAGAAAGACGATGCCGCACTAAAGTGTGCTGCCGACTTCTCGTGACTTGAAGGCAGCATAGTCAACTTGCCAAAGAATCTCAAGGACATGGATGACAGAATGAATCAACACATGAGGTCGAAGTCATGCACTGAACGATGTAAGGTTGCACTTGATCTCGATGTGGGTCCTTGCCAGCTCAGGAAACCAGATACTATGTCGGGTTGCTGCCCCTTGGCTGGATTCTAGCTGGATTCCACGTCAAGGCTGCGCCAACATGAGGTGTTGAAGTTTGTAGAAAATATATTGAACGTGTAGAGGCGACGTTGTATAGTCCATCGTCGATGATAAGCATACGAACTTGCATGTGAAATTATGTGCAAGCATCGCATGCAATTTCACACTCGCTGCAGCAACCAATATTGGAGCTGCGGTTTTGAATGCCAGTCTCATTTTGATAGTGCGCCATATGACATGTCAAATGCTTCATTTGGGGTGGTTTGTCATTGACAGATGCACCAAACCTCTGGAAATATTTTTGCTCAGGCCTGAGATACGGCCCCAAAGATAAGGTGCGTATATACAGTTTTGGGTTGAAGGGCTTGAAGTGCGGGATTCAATACAAATGGATTAAGAAGCATGGATGTGCAATATTATGTGGTATGCAGTTTTTTCATCTCACCAAAAGGTCAACACAACCCGGAGAAGTCTTTGCATGTGTTTGTTTGTGAATGTGTTTTTAGTTCCTTAATTTATTAAATGCAGAAGACTTTGCCAGTGCGTTGCACAAATACAAATGTCAAGATTCCAACCCTTACACTTAGGTGGTTGGACATTCCCAGATATTCCAATGGTCCTGATCAAAACCCTTGGCAAACTCTCGGCATTGCATGGGACCAATCTCAGCTTCAACCTGTACTGGTAACAATTACGAGTTCCCGGGCGCTGACCAGAAAGGTTGGTCATTCTGTTGATTCTGTTGGCATACGTGTTGACGATTTAACTTTAATCTGTGTATGCCACCACTGCGCGCCTCCTTCCGCTGCATTTCTCGGCTTTCAGCGATAAGTTCATCCAAGTTCTACCTCACAGGTCCTGTCCTTTTGCAGCTTGCAGCTGCATTGTGTCCAGGCTTCAGAAATTCAATGAACGTGTCAGTCACTGAAATGGATTGAAATGGTAATATTTGTGATGTTTGTGACTGTTTGTGTTTCATTTGTTTTTCTCTTCTGCAATATATGCACTATATTACTTTGTAATGCTTATTTGTTTAAGTGTTGCGACCCATTTCTACTTGAAGAGGCGCCAATGGATGTGGGAACAACTGTGCGCATGACCGTGACAGTACTCCCAAACGTACCTGGCACGACATCCAGTCTTTTTGGATGCCAAGACTCAGGTTTTCTCTACAGCAGAATATGGGAACCAAAGCTGCCGTTATGTATGCATTCTGTGCCTTGTCCTTGTTGGAAGGAAACACTGGCCGCAGCTGACTCTGCAATATCCGGATGTTTCCGGTCCAGTGCTGAAGGAAACACTAGCTTCATCTATATAGCTTCAATTGTTCGCATGGGGGCTTGGAAATGCTTGGATGGGTGGCAAATGGTGGCAAGTTGAATCGGGTGTGAATCCAAGGCAGCGTGTTTGCTCTGGTGCTCCAGTCCATTGCAACACAGATCAAGTGGCATGCTCTCAGGTTCATGAATGTTGCTTGCCGACATCATTTAAGTGGTGATCCATTCGCTCTCAGAGCACGTTCCTGCACACACCATGTGACAAATGTTCATTTGTGCTTTCAACAACAAGGCATGCGGTTACTTCCAACAAGCCACTCACCAGTCTAACATGACCTGCGAATGCTCTCAGGGAATTACCACGCACACGCTGATGAAGATGGAAACTGGGCTCTTGTACACCCGTGTGGACACGGGCTCAAGCCTTCTTTGCTTCTACAAAGACGCCGCGCAAAAGGATGCCTCGCGACTCAAGCCGGGCATGTGTAGCTTGGAAAGCAATGCATATTGCCCGGAAGACTTGACCTAATGTTTCAATCTTTTCTAATGTTATGTTTTTTTTGCTTTTTCTAATTGACAATCTTATAATCTTGTCATGTTTCTTAGTCCATGTCTTTTTTCCGCAGATTCCCCTTTTGGTGCTTTGGAGATGTTTCACCAGTGCTCATTGAGATTCAGCCAGCCAGGTTGTTTCAAACTGTTCTTCCTGCTTCCATACGCTTGAGCAATTTTGAACATATTCATGGAGCCTTAGAAGACCAGTCTCAGGTGATCGTTTGTCGGAAGGCATCACCCTCCAAGATGCTGCTGATGAGTGGTGTGCTCCTTTCTTGATGTCTGCCTTCCCCTCTCCATGTGAAGGCGGCACTCGGTGGAGCGGTATTATGGCTATGTTTGAACATGTTTGAAATCATTTGAGCAATTGCGCTTGTAATATCTTGTAATTACTAATTTTTAAGCCACCCAGAGACTCTGGCTTTTGGATTTTCCATTGAAATTGAGCCCTTGCGATCTTAGAAGTAGTCTACGACACGCAGGCTGGTTTCAAGAGTATGTCAGCGGTGTGTTTTGGCAAAGCGAGTTGAGTGAGTAATCTTGAGGATCGCGTATGTTCCCAAGTCGGTTGGTGCTAGGTTAAGTTTCCGCGTGTTCTCGCAGAACAAATTCCTGCCAATTTCCAAGCCTGCACCTGCCTCACGTTGCCACAGGCTTCAAGGCAGCTTATTTCATGGGCTTGGGAACTCTTCTCGCTATGGCTATCAATGTGGTAGCTATTGTTGTTTGCTTGTTCCTGATCTCCCAGTACTTGGAAGGAACTTTGCATAAGGGAGTGCGCCTTGGCGGAAAATACCACAAAATACCAGCTTTTAATCTCTTCTTATCAGCTGCGAGTGCGCATGGCGACGGGACAAACTATTGGCAACAACTTCTTGCATCTACTGGACGTTTGGGGACAACAGAAAAAAGCATGTTCGCAGAGGGGTGAATAATATCAATGAATCAGGGCCCATACTATGACTGAATGTAGATGTGAGATGCTCTCTGCAAAGAGATCAAAGAGCAGAGTTGCACGTCCTTTCATGGGCATGACAGGAATGTTTCCCATGGCGGCGAAAGTTTAGCCATACGAGGTACCGAGTTTGGGCCCTGATTCTTCACATCACATCCACGGTCATTCTTATTGCAGTCTATGTGGCGTACATTATGGTCGCCGCTTTGATGCAAGAGTTCACATGTGGCAGAACAACCAGCACCAACTCACCAACCCTCTACCTCTCTCTTTGAGTCTCCATTGTGTATGACTGTATGACAATGATATATCATATATCCTTATTGATATTATTGACACTACTGGGACATTCTAGGACGCTTAATTGCTATCAAGAGACAGGACTGAACATGTTCCATTTGTTTCAAGTGCTTCCCCACTTGAAAGTATTCTGTGGTTTGCTTCCCCGCTTGAAAGTATTCTGTGGTTTGGGTTTATTAGTTCATTAAATTAAAATAAGAGTTCCATGTTTCTGGGAGTGTCGGCAGACACTTATTGTTGTTTGATTGTTTTTCACCCCAGCTTGGGCTATGGTGCACTTTCAGAATTACTGAGTCGGCTATGTTAATCAGAACAAAGAGGGCGCACACAGACATCAGACATGGTTTCCAGATGTTGCCAGCTTCCCGAGGCTATTACAGCCCTCGATGAAGTTGGAGGAAACTTGCCGCACTATGACTAGCTGATCAGCTGATCAATCACTGGCAATGATCCGTGGCAAACTCTGACTCTACAGTCCACTTGGAATATGAAATTATGATTTTCGCTGTATCAGGATGTTTTGTTAGCCCATACCCTCCTGCTGAGAGAGCTTAGATTCTGTCATCAGTGAGCCATCAGCTACTGCAACTAATTGATATGGTACACATGTTTTGCAAGGAGTTGTTTGCCAGCTGATGCCTCTTTCAGATATTCTGAGTGTGTGGATTTTGACTATCAACCTGATCTATACTAATGTTTTGGATGAACAACCACAAGAAACTTATTCGATATTGTGGCGCAGTAATGTTTCGATCACCGGTAGTTCACGTGATGGTTGACTTGTTTTGCTGAAAATCGTTGCAAAGCTTTGCGTAGACTGGGCATCTCGTTCATTTTGGTGTGATAAGAATTATATGCCAGGATAAGTCATACAAGTCTTCTATTGAGTCTGGGATCGTCAGGAAAAGGCGTCCCACTACTTGCGATGGGAAGCAAGGGCACTGGAATGAGCTTGGGCGTTGTGGTGATGGGTGCGGGCTTGTTGTTCCAGGCAGGCCCATTTTTTTCTTTGCCAAGCATCAGTCATCAGTCGTTATATTTTGTTGGCACCTACTTTTTTGCACAAAGAGACCCAGATAGATAGGCCTGTTTTTGGTGATAGTGTTGGCCTTTTGTTTCCATTCCTGTCCTAAACAGGTTTTATCAGCAGCACTGCTATTAGCAGTGAAACTGGGCGACGAAGAGACGAATGAGGAGAAGCAGATCCGTCAGTGGATGAAGGCGCGACATTGTTGGCTTGTTGGGAAAGGATGGTGCACATTTTGGATCATTTTGGATCATTTTGGTATGTCATATGTCCTTCTGTTGTGTGAGTAATGAATGCCCGAGACTGGACACGACCAAGCAGCCTGGCATCAAGACACCCAGGTTTGTTTCATTGTCATGTTCTGCATTTTCTGGCGGTTGGTGGGTTGTGTTTCCTTCGTGATTTTCTCTTTAGATTCAGTACGCAGGTATGAATCATTTTGGCTTGGGTGAGTCTGTATACATTTGTTTGTGCCGGTACTGAGAGTTTGGATAAATCTGTGCGTTGTATGTTATGTGCACGTGGGTCCCTGTTGCCTGTTGGCCGATGTTTTGAATGCCCATCCTCAAGTTGCTTGTTACATTTCAATGAGACGATTTGAGACGATCGAATCTCTCACCCGGCGCACTTGCTTGATACAAGCTCTCTGGCAGGATTACCCTGTGTTTGCAACACATTATATATGTTTACACAAAACCATAGTTTACCGCATATGCTTATTTCAAACTCCCATTCTCCTCAGAAGCGCCGAATTTTAAGAGTTTCCGTTTGATGTCCTGGCACAATTTATCACTGCTGTCAGGAAGATGCCAGGTACGCGGCGGAAGGTGGATATGCAGGTCGGAGTTTCATGGCAGGGAAGTTGCAAAGAGGCTGTATGGCTTGCTGTGTGCAGCATGCATTTATCGCAGTATTTTGCAGTTCACGACTTTTGTGAACCACTTTAATTATTTGGGATTTGTCTTGCCATCCAATTCAACATAATTCAACACACCTGACAAATCCCGCCGCAGATTACGGCAGCTACGGCTATGGAGAGCCATATCAGGGAGCAAGCTTCACTGGCTATGACTATGGTTATGATCAAAGCCAATTCATGGCTGGCGGCGCTGCCGGGTAGCTTGTGCTGAATTGCTGAAGCTCTTTCTCTTTCATGTTTGCATCCTCTTCGACGTAACAACCCTTCCCAAATGTGACAGGAACATCTCTGACATTGAAACCCAATCCACTGCCCAAATGGTACCGAATTCATCCGAATTCAAGGTATCCATCTCAGGGTGCCGGAATGGACTGCTTTTCAGGGCGTCGAGTCGAGTTGCTGTGTTGAATATGTTGAATTAGCTGGAGCACTTTGGACCAGTTGTTTCCAGTATATATTATTGTATCTAGTCTATCTAGTCTAGTGAGTCTAGTGCTGTTTTATAATATTATCGAAGGAAGTTTAGAAGTCAAACTTCCGACAATATGGACAGAGAGATGAAAAGCAGAGGTGGAGCAGAAGAAGGGAGAAGAGAAGAGCAGAAGAGAGAAGGGCAGGAGAGAGAAGATCAGAGAAGAGAAAGAGTCGGAAGAAAGAAGATCCAGGTGCGCGAAAAAGGCAGGAAAGTCGCGAAACACTGTGTTTTTCCAAGGATTTGTGGCTCCAGAGGGTCGAAAAGTAGGCTCGCTAAAGTGGCGGGTGCGGAAACAGCTGGCCAGATTAGAGATGAAAAATTGCACGCCGTTGTGACGCGAAGCACATTTCCAAGTCAGTCTAAGTCAAAATGTACAAAACACCTCAGCTCTGGAGCAATTTTAGAAGTTGCGCTGTCGAAAAAGTGCACGCCGTTGTGGCGCAAAGCACAGGTCGAAGTCAAAATGTACAAAACACACCAGGTCCGGACCACTTTTGGCAGTAACGATGTGGAAAAAGTGCACGCCGTTGTGGCGCGAAGCGCATTTCGAAGTCAAAATGTTAAAAACACCACATGTTCGCGCCACTTTTGGAAGTTCCGATGTCGAAAAAGTGCACACCGGTGTGGAGCGAAGCACATATCGAAGTCAAAATGTGAAAAGCACCACATGCTCGGACCACTTTTGGACGTTCAGATGCCGTTTCGCGTGGCAGGCGCAAGGGATTATAGACCCTGTCAAAAGCGAGCAAAACGTGAGGGCTTTGTAGAATGTCAAAAAATGATGGCAGGTGTGGGACATTTGAAGCGGATCTGGAAAGATGCATTTTCCATGGCAGGCACCGTACAAGAGACATGCTCATCAGAGCTGTTAGGAGGTCCGGGCGCTGATTTCCTGAGAGGGGTTGCATTTTGGAGCCTCCGATCTTGAGGTTTGCTGAGATGATTTTGCGTGACTGGTGCAGCACTTCGTATGACCTGGCATCACTTTTTCGTGGTAGGCGCAGTAGTTTACTGTAGACAGATGGACTAGAAAAATCGCAAAACGCGTTGGTACGAGGCCGTCAGCTCTGCACTCAACTTTCCATTTTTGAAGGATCTCTCGCAGAATTGCTTCGTTTTTGATGTTGTCAAGTGCAAAAATTGAAGAAGTCTCGCTGAATTGCTGCGTTTTTTGATGTTGTCAAGTTCCAAAACTGAGGAAGTCTCGCAGAATAGCTTCGTTTTCAAGCTTGCAGATAGATAGATAGATAGATAGACAGACAGACAGACAGAGAGAGAGAGAGAGAGATAGATAGATAGATAGATAGATAGACAGAGAGGGAGAGAGATAGATAGATAGATCGATAGAAAGATAGAAAGATAGATAGATAGATAGATAGGTAATTAGATGAGGGGGAGAGAGAGAGAGAGAGAGATAGATGGATGGATGGATGGATGGATGGATAGATGGATAGATAGGTAGGTAGGTAGGTAGGTAGATAGTCAGAGAAAGAGAAAGAAAGAGAGAGAAAGAGAGGAGACCTCAACCACCTGTCGGTCCATCAGTGTCTTCGCTCTGCCATCCGTGACTCAAAACAACCAACCTCTCCTATAGGTTTCCTATTTTTGAAACTTCCGATAACTTCCGCCACCGCCTTGCGCGGTACTACTGGTAAAAAATCTATATCTACGGCTACGGGCACCCCTGTGCGGTATTCCTGGGTTTTGCAGGAGGAAATTTGATGGCAATTCTAGGTAGGAAAAACAGACCCTGCAAATTGTAAACGATGTCCGGCTACTTGGGACTATTTGCATATTTTGCATCATTCGATTTTCAAAGGAAATGGGAATTATAATTAGAAACAATTCTTTTCCATTCTTTCCAAGCGTGCGCAGGAGATGCCAGGAGCATACGGAGGCGGGCCTTCCTTCGATCAGACGGCAAAGGCCACGGTGAATTTGAGCTGGACGAAGACATACCAAGACATTCTGCCAACACGGTCTCCTTTCTTAAACAGTTTGAAGGCCCTGAAGTGCTCACTGCAGGTAGGTGGCTCTTGAATCTTGTGAATAGGAGCAAGTAGAGGACATCATACAGTAGACAACGGTAGGAAAAATGTATCAAATCGTGTTTTCGTTGGATGGTTTGCCTGCATGGTTGCCGGCCTGCTGTTTATGATCTGTTCAACATGTAAATGACGTTGTTTGGTCATAGTTGCTGCTGCTGCTGCTGCTGCTGTGTGGTTGCATGATTGTTGCTTTTATCTTTGTCGTTTGCAGTTTTTGCCGTCGTCGCTGTTGTTGCAGCTGCTTCTACTGCCAGTTGGCTGTTGTTGTTGGAATGAGAATTCTTGCAGTCAGGACCAGTCAAATGGAGTGTGGCCTCAGAATTTGAAGTTGGGCATTTGGCCTTAGAAATCCTTGCTAGTTAGTCCCATGCTGTGCCCACTTTGTTCTGGCAATCAGGCTGCTGCCCAGTGAGAGGGTTGAAAAGACAGGAACCTGCGTGCAGCTTTTGTGCCCGAAAAATGCGCTTTTGAATGGCTGGCGGGTGCTGTGGCAAGATCCATGGAACTTGCAATGCTGTGCGTCGCACTCATTACACGAGAGTTTAGTCAAATGCCGGATATCCTGATCAACATTCAGCACCCAAAAAGTACACGATATATCATACATACACACACACACGCACATTATAATACTGTAGGCAAAAAGTTCAAAGTTAGCGATACCGATATTGGCCTGGCTATGTGTTGCAAGGTACGTGTTTAATTAAATGCCCTTGACATGCAGTGTGTCCGATTACACATGGTTACAACACTACGTTTATGCAATTGTTGGTGCGATTGTTTGATGTTGATTGATGCAATAAAAGAAAAGGGTTTTCGACTTGGCGCAAGAAAATCGGGAACTTTGAAAAAAGTGACAGATAGCTGCAGGTAGCGATCAAGGGCGGCCTTTGCAACAATGGTGAGAAGGCTCCCACAGGTCAGCCTGGCTGTGTGCAACTTGGCCTGACATGAATAGGCATCGAATTCTCTAAAAGATTTGATTAACAAATTGGCTTCGGATGGGCGGCTGCCAACTCTCGCAAGGTTATTGCTTGTAGTTTTGTTCCTTGTTACACAGAACACAGCACAAGGTGAGCTCTCCCTGAGGACTCAAAAATATCATGCTCCAGGCAATTTTACATGTGAATGTGACTCCTACTTGTTCTCAATGTGCACCTTCGCGATTATGTTTGAACGCATTTGATGCGAAATTTGGAACCGCATTGCATCGCTTTGATCAATTTCAATCTTTCGTCGTGGTCCATGGGATCAGGTATCTGTATGAAAGCCTCGAAGACAAGGACCTGTCAGTCTTTTACATCTTTCTATTTAATCTTTTAGTCTTTTAGTGCTGATATTCTCTGAAAGATCATGTGGGTCGGAGCTGACCTATAGACTTGATGCAAGATATGTTTGATATTGTTTGCATATGTATGAAACCCACCGCATTAAGCTCAACTTTCATGAGCTCAAAGCTGCCACTTTGTAGTCGCCCAAGAAAATTAAAGACATGCCTTCAAGGTCCCAGGCTTGACGTGCTGTTTTGCAAAGGTGAGGGCAGACTAGGACTTTGGATCCTAGCTGTCGGCAAGACATGGCAAGATATTTGTCTACAACGCGAAGAAGGATAAGGATGGATACGATAATTGCATTATATTGCATTGATAGCTTGAACCCTTTTTCCTCACCAACGGGATCCAATGAGTTGCGGGAACTGGGTTGGCACGACAGCACTACAGTGCAGAAAATGGGATGCAATTAATTTTCTTCGGCTACAGTTGCAACCGATTCACCACAGGATTTCCTTTCGTTAGACAACCTAGTTGGCATCACTGCAGCAAAATGTTCCTTCGCTGCAATTTTAGTGTGCCGGTCGTTTCCTGGAGCAGAGCTGAGAGCCATCAGTACGAGAGCAGCCAAGGCGGAAACAGTGGTGAAAGGACCTGTACAGATTGGCGCCGTGGCAGCAAGTCAGTGGCGAAGTACTACAGGATTGTTTGAAAGCTTTCCCGATGCTCCCTGTGTCCGTGAGGCTCCAGTGATAGTTGATAAGTATTGAATAGCATTGACTAGTAAGAATGGATATTTAAGCTCTCAATGGCCCGTGGTTTCAGCACCTGCCAGGCAGGCCTGTGAAGGCCTACTCGCCCACAGAAACCCTGAAAGCTGGTTGTTCGTAGTAGGCTTCATGTTTGCGCCATATATATATATATGCATGTATATATATATAGATATACCTGGAAAGCCGGAAAGCCATGATATCATTGCGCCCGCAGGATGGTCCCGCAACTCTGTTCAAGCTATTAAGCTATCAGAATAAGCTATTAAGCTATTAAGCTATTAGATTATTAGAACAAGCGATTAAGCTATTAAGCTATTAAGCTGTTAAGCTATTAGAATAAGCGATTAAGCTAGTAAGCTATTCGAATAAGCGATTAAGTCGATTAAGTTATTAAGCTGTTAGAATAAGCGATTAAGCTATTAAGCTATTAGAATAAGCGATTAAGCTATTAAGCTATTAGAAAAAGCGATTAAGCTATGAAGCTATTAGAATAAGCGATAAGCTATTAAGCTATTAGAATAAGCGAGGGACCCTGCATAATATCTCTTTTTGGTCAAACGACCTTGACCTTTTTTTTTGCGATTACGGCTTTGATCGTCTGGAGCCACTTGTGTGAGAGTTACGGCTTTTTACGGCCTTTTTTCAACAAAATGTCGAAAAAATACGGTTTTGCTACGGATAGGCTTGTGTTAGGGCTGCTACTTTTTTTACTTTTTTTTCAACAAAATGTTGAAAAATACGGTTTTGCTACGGGTAGGACTGCAATTTCTTTTGATTTGACATGTTTTTGTGGTCATTGCGGGTAAAAACAATATTTTACCAAACAAAATGATCATTAATTACGGCTTTTTCCCATAATGACAGTCGACCAGAAAATTGTGTGTTTTGGGTTTTCCAGGTATATATATAATATATATAAGATGTTTTAATATACGTCGTATCATATGTATGCAGGAACAAGATGTATAACAAGATGTAATTAAATTAACAAGTTTGCAACCAAATCGGGTCATTTTTTGATTTGGCAAAGCACGATCCTGGCCGCCTGGCCAATCTCCTCTGTCATTCACCACTACCTTATTTTGACTCTTAAACTGTGCCCATGAGACAGTGACACTAAGGGCAGATTGGCGAAAGAACTGCTACGAAACTTGGCACATCTTAGGCAAGCTATGAAAGCAGCCGGTCAATTGGCCTTGCAGGTGATGTTGATCCTTGGTCTGGTTGTCTTGAAATTTTATATATTTGCTGGAGGCGAATCCCGTATACTGGTAGGATCCTTGACCATGCATGGCAAGTATGTCGAGTTGTCGCTTGAATTGAGGATCCCGACAAAAAGTACAAGAGAAGGTTTAAGACCCTTGACCGCACTCATGTGCTGACCTGTTCAAGATCCGTGAGTATTACAGAAAGTGCAATATTGGATGGTGCAGTGTACAGTGTGTAATTCCTCATGTGTACTATGTACGGCTATGTGCAATACATTTGTTGGCAAAGATATTCTTGCTCACTCTTGTGGCAGGTTCGACTTGAGGAGGGCATAAAAGAAATTACCAATTTGGTTTTACGACGGAAGCGCTTGTGTGGATAGTGAACGTGTTTCATGTGTGTGTGTTATTTACTCCTTTTCAATATCCTTATCCTTCCTCAGATGTTGTATGCCATTGTATGTAATATGATGTATAGTTTACCATTGCCAATGGAGGGCTAATTATTTTAGGACTTTTTTTTTGATCAGGTTTAGGAATTATTTTTGGATTCCTGCTTCTCTGCTTTTCCTGCTTTTCCTGCTTGCTCTGCTTTTCCTGCTTTTCCTGCTTTTCCTGCTTTTCCTGCTTCTCTGCTTTTCTGCTTTTTTGCTTTTCTGCTTCTCCTGCTTCTCTGCTTCTCTGCTTTTCTGCTTTTTTGCTTTTCTGCTTCTCCTGCTTCTCTGCTTTTCTGCTTTTTTGCTTTTCTGTTTTTCCTGTTTCTTTGCTTCTCTGCTTTTCCTGCTTTTCCTGCTTCTCTGCTTTTCTGCTTTTCCTGCTTCTTTGCCTTTCTGCTGTTTTGCTTTTGTGCGTTTCCTGTTTCTTTGCTTCTCTGCTTTTTTGCTTCCCTGCTTTTTTTTTTGCTTTGCCTGCTTTAAATACTTGATTTCCATGTAAGATGCATTTTGCACAGTATTTACATCCCTGAGTATCACATGACCAACCTTCTATTGAAAACTAGCAATGTAACATGTGAGAAGAGGTGCTTGCATTCTGCTTTGGGGGGAGGCGCTGCGCCTTCCCCCAATCCCCCCCTCCCGCTTTTTTTTTAATTTAAACTTAAACCCAAGTTACATTAGTTGGTTTTTGCGAACTAACCTTCTCTGGAAAGCTGACAGGATTACATGTGATAGATAGATAGATAGCTAGATACCTCGATCGATAGATAGCTAGATAGATAGATAGCCAGCTAGATAGATAGATAGCTAGAGAGATAGATAGCTAGATACCTCGATCGATAGATGGCTAGATAGATAGCTAGATAGATAGATGGCTAGATAGATAGCTAGATAGATAGATAGCTAGCTAGATAGATAAAGAGGTAGCTAGATAGATATAGATAGATAGATAGATAGCTAAATAGATAGGTAGATAGTTAGCTAGATAGATAGATAGCTAGATAGATAGCTCGATAGCTAGATAGCTGGATAGACAGCTGGATGGCTAGATAGATAGATAGATAGCTAGATACCTCGATAGATAGATGGCTAGATAGATAGCTAGATAGATAGATGGCTAGATAGATAGCTAGATAGATAGCTAGATAGATAGATGGCTAGATAGATAGCTAGATAGATAGATAGCTAGCTAGATAGATAAAGAGGTAGCTAGATAGATAGCTAGATAGATAGATAGATATCTAAATAGATAGGTAGATAGTTAGCTAGATAGATAGATAGCTAGATAGATAGCTCGATAGCTAGATAGCTAGATAGATAGATAGCCAGCTAGATAGATAGGTAGATAGATAGCTAGCAAGATAGCTAGCTAGATAGGTAGATAGATAGATAGATAGATAGATAGCTGGATAGATAGATAGCTTGGTAGATAGATAGCTAGATAGATAGATAGCTAGATACCTCGATAGATAAATGGCTAGATAGATAGCTAGATAGATAGATGGCTAGATAGATAGCTAGATAGATAGCTAGATAGATAGATGGCTAGATAGATAGCTAGATAGATAGCTAGCTAGATAGATAAAGAGGTAGCTAGATAGATAGCAAGATAGATAGATAGCTAAATAGATAGGTAGATAGTTAGCTAGACAGATAGATAGCTAGATAGATAGCTCGATAGCTAGATAGCTAGATAGAGCTAGATAGATAGCTAGATAGATGGCTAGATAGCTAGATAGATAGCTAGATAGATAGATAGATAGCTAAATAGATAGGTAGATAGTTAGCTAGATAGATAGATAGCTAGATAGATAGCTCGATAGCTAGATAGCTAGATAGATAGATAGCCAGCTAGATAGATAGGTAGATAGATAGCTAGCAAGATAGCTAGCTAGATAGGTAGATAGATAGATAGATAGATAGCTGGATAGATAGATAGATAGATAGCTTGGTAGGTAGATAGCTAGATAGATAGATAGCTAGATAGATAGCTCGATAGCTAGATAGATAGACAGATAGCCAGCTAGATAGATAGGTAGATAGATAGCTAGCAAGATAGCTAGCTAGATAGGTAGATAGATAGATAGCTAGATAGATAGATAGCTTGCTAGATAGATAGCTAGCTTGCTAGATAGATAGCTAGATAGCTAGATAGCTAGCTAGCTGGATAGATAGCTAGCGCCCTCCCTCAATTCCCCCCATCCGCTTTTTATCTAATCCCAAGCTTCCGCATCTGTAAATATTTGGGTGAACATGCTCACATGTAGAACATCCCATGCAAAATGGAAGGTGAACATGCCAAAATGTGGCAAATACATACAAAATGGAAGGTGAACATGCCCACATGTAGGAAATCCCATGCAAAATGGAAGGTGAACATGCCAACATGTGGCAAATACCATACAAAATGGAAGGTGAACATGCCCACATGTAGTAAATCCCATGCAAAATGGAAGGTGAACATGCCCAAATGTGGCAAATACCATGCAAAATGACAAATTCAAGTTCCAAACCGTTGCAAACACTAGGCAAATGGTACCAGCCAAGAAATCCAAAAAAAAATCCCAAACCTGCTCAAAAAAAAATCCTAAAACTATTTCACACCCGTAATTGCCAATTGCGCCAATCTTGAAACCTGAACATGACTGACATGATGTCTGTGAACGATTCGAACGACTTCAGAGCTTGAAGCTTCATTTGCTTTGAAGAAACGTTCAACACAAAGTTTAGGAGTACTGATTGCCCATGTTCAAGAGAACTTTGCTTGTAAGGCACCGTGTGGATGAAACATTCGGACGGTTTTGTTCGCACAAGTTCAGGTTTCCGGAAGTGCCTTTATGTCATTTTATGATTTTTATGTGCATGTTAATTCTATCCATTTCTGTCCTCTTGGATCGATAGGATGGTCAGACTGTGAAAGGATGAAGTCGATGACTTCATGCACATTCATTTGCTCGCAGTGAATAAAAAGCTCGCGATTCTGACACCTGGATTCGTTTTCAAACCATGATGTTTGGGAGAACTGATTCTACGGATGGAGGCAAGATCTTTTCCGGGCACCCTCCGTCCTTGAAGAGGCAGTTGCTTAGGCTTAGCCAACACTACATAGTTTTAGCATTAAGAAAAGTTTGCCTGCAGTTCATGCTCAGGAAAACAGACCTCGGGGATGGCAAGATGAAAGTGGATGTGGAAGAGACTGATTATTGTTCTTCGGCTGTGATTGTAGATATTGGGAGAGAGGGGCTTCAAAACTAACAGACCCAGACAGTAGGAGAGAGACAGTAAGAAACCACGCATAGATTCCAATTGGGCCGCTTCAAGTGGCAGGGCATCCAGACCACCACTACAGTAGATGCTACATTGGTTCTAAGGTGTGGAGTATGACCTTCACCCGTACTGCCAGGCAAAGTTTTTGAGCTCACAATTGGCCGAAATTTGATGTGAGGATCAATTGCAGTATGATATAGCGTGTGTGACTCTCATGATCTCTCATGATTAGCATTGTTGAGGCATGCGCGTTAGGATTGAAAAGAGTCGTGAGTAGTGCTACAAGTTGTAACATGTTGCTTGATCTTTTCGTGAAAACAATGGAAAATTGGAGCTAGGTCGCAGCAGTATGCTTGCGCCCAGTGCCAGCCGCACAGGATGCTCCACCAGATCTATGCAACAATGTGGATTGTCAGAGTCTTTCACCATCTGAGAAGGAAATTGGTTTGGAGTACTGGCTCGGCAGGTGGGAAGCCAGTCAGAAGTCCAGAATTCAGCAGCCGCACCTGGAGGATTCCTAGAAACTGCAGTGGAAACTTACCAAGTGATTCAGCTGTCACATGAAAACTGGTGCTGGAATGGTGAAACCTCCAGGCAGCTTCCACTAACCAGTTTTTGGGACCCACAATTGCAGTGGCCAAGTACCACACCAGGCATTGAGCAACTATGAGCAACTTATACTTTGTCCAACTTGACCGACGTCGAGCAGGTGCGAGGAAAGCCACAATACCAAACGCGCCGAAGGCATCAACTTCGCTTTTGCGAAGGCCAGACTGGGCACATGTGTTCGAACTAGTTCAATCTGTGCATAAATCCTACCACATTCCTTCGCCGAAATTGTCAGCATATCAACTATCTGTGACTATATGTAAGACTGATTGTGCTGTACCTTGTTATTGTCATTGAACAAAAGATATTAGGTAGTAGAGTATTGTAGAGTACGGCTTTGGGTTCCATGGTGTTTGAGTTGACAGAGTGGTTATGCTTTCTGATACGCGGCTGCAAGACCCCGGAGAAGAATCATCTCATGGTGGACAAGGACAATCGCATTTTTGCTGTTGGAACTTTGTCCCTACGCGAGAGCAGGGGGGCCCTTGTATGTACTTTCAGCATGCAGGTCATGCATAACTGCATAACATGTATTTCCCCAACTGCTGGGTGAGGGTCTCTAGATTTAAACTATTTTAACAAAGGTGCCGCTCCTCTTCTTCTTCTTCTTCTTCTGACTCCCTTCCTCCTTCGTCTTGTCCTCCTCCTTCTCCTCCTCCTCGCTTGCTGCACTTGCTGCATTTGCTGCCATATCACCAGCTCCGGATGCTGTGTGGGGCAAGCCCGGGCCCAAACACCATAGTGCCAGCTCCGGATGCTGTGGGGCACGCCTGGACCCGAACACAATATTCCAGCTCCGGATGCTGTGGGGCATGCCTGGGGGCAAACACCATATCGCCAGCTCCTGACGCTGTGAGGCACGCCTGGACCCGAACTTGCTTATTTGTAGAACATGGCCACTTACCATGCTGGGACCTGTTTGACGTAGAACTGCATTTGATGGCATTTAGCTACAATATGCTATAATGTTGACCCCGGATTAATAAACCCCCTCCCCCCCTATAGGTCAACTAGGTCAACAAGGTCCAGTCAGGGGGTCCAAAAACCGAACCCCCTAAATAATGTGACATTCATTCATCCATAAACGATAATCATCAGATTCCTATGGGAAAAGATTCGAAAACCAATGGTAAACCATCAGATTCCTATGGGCACAGATTAGAAAATTAATGGTAAACAATCAGATTCCTATGAGGGAAGGTGAGGAAACCACGCAAAAACCATCAGATTCCTATGGGAAAAGAGATTCGAAAACCAATAAAAGATTCGAAAACCAATGGTAAACCATCAGATTCCTATGGAGAAAGATTTGAAATTTAATGGTAAACCATCAGATTCCTATGAGGGAAAGTGAGGAAACCACGCAAAAACCATCAGATTCCTATGGGAAAAGATTCGAAAACCAATAAAGGATTCGAAAACCGATGGTAAACCATCAGATTCCTATGGGGAAAGATTGGAAAATTAATGTTAAACCATCAGATTCCTATGAGGGAATGAAAGGGAGTCACCTCTTCCCAACATGATGAGGCAACCCACAAAAAGAACCTCTGAAACCAGTGTGTTTGGCAATAGTGCGGCTTCGACCCAATGAAAGCACAGCTCTTGCAATGAAAGCGAGCCACCTCTTCCCAACATGATGAGCCAACCCACAAAAATTCTCTGAAACCACTGTGTTTGGCAATAGTGCGGCTTCGACCTAGTGAAAGCACATCTCCTGCAATGAAAGAAAGCCACATAGAAGCAAGCAAAGGTAGCTAACATAACAGCAAGACATTAGCAGAGAAAGAAGCACAACACACAAGCATTCAAGCCAGCTGTGTACCACCCCCGGGCTGCAAGGCGCACCCTCCGGGAATCGAGCCCGGGTTAAGCGGCCCAAAGCCTATTCTACACCACTGAGGCACACGGGCTTGCCCTAAATGGCAAAAAAAGGCTTCATAGGACCAGTGACTCTGCCTAGCAGGGTTACCGGAAATCAAAAAGACAATGCGCAACACCCTCCTAACCCCCCAAACAACCACCCCATTTAATTAAACCCTCACAAACCCTCCCCAACCCTTTGGCAGTGGCTTCCACCTCATGAAACCTCTTGCGACGATAAAGAGTCCCCTCTTCCCATCATCATGAGCCCAACAACCCCTGAAACCAGTGTGTTTGGCAATAGCGCGGCTTCGACCTAATGAAAGCACAGCTCTTGCAATGAAAGGGAGCCACCTCTTCCCAAGATGATGAGGCAACCCACAAAAAACCAGTGTGTTTGGCAATAGTGCGGCTTCGACCTACTGAAAGCACAGCTCTTGCAATGAAAGGGAGCCACCTCTTCCCAAGATGATGAGTCAACCCACAAAAAACATCTGAAACCAGTGTGTTTGGCAATTGCGCGGCTTCGACCTAATGAAAGCACAGCTCTTGCAATGAAAGAGAGTCACCTCTTCCCAAGATGATGAGCCAACCCACAAAAAACTTCTGAAACCAGTGTGTTTGGCAATAGCGCGGCTTGGACCTACTGAAAGCACAGCTCTTGCAATGATAGAGGGTGCCTTCAAGATGCCCTCTTAATTTTGGTTGTGGCTTATCTGGATCCACCTGTATATGTGCATTTCAAAATACGTCGTCGTAGTAGTAGTAGTAGTAGGAGGAGGAGTAGTAGCAGTAGTAGCAGTAGTAGCAGTAGTAGCAGTAGTAGCAGTAGTAGCATTAGTAGCAGTAGTAGCAGTAGTAGCAGTAGGAGTAGAAGAAGTAGCAGTAGTAGTAGCAGTAGTAGCAGTAGTAGCAGTAGTAGCAGTAGTAGCAGTAGTAGCAGTAGTAGCAGTAGTAGCAGTATATAGTAGCAGAAGTAGTAGTAGTAGTAGCAGCAGCAGTAGCAGCAGTAGCAGAAGTAGCAGCAGCAGCAGTAGCAGCAGCAGTAGCAGCAGCAGTAGCAGCAGCAGTAGTGGTGGTAGTAGTAGTAGCAGCAGTAGTAGTAGCAGCAGCAGCAGTAGTGGTGGTAGTAGTAGTAGCAGTAGTAGCAGCAGCAGCAGCAGCAGCAATAGTAAACAATTGCCACATTGCAAAAGCATACTTGCGAGGTGGATGAGGAAAGATCAGGCAATGTTGATGTAGCTGTTGAAGGAATTCATTGCTTAAATGATTGCAATCTGAAGCACGCATAGAAAAAACTCATCGCGGCTGGGTGGGTTTTACTAATTGGGGGAGGCGTCGTTTTATTTGTGGGGGGGACACCGCTCAAGGGGTGTAGCCTTTCTGAGTTCCCAGTCCCAAAAATAGCATTTTTTAATTAGATTTTAATTAGAAATCGATTATTTGGGGGATATGTATGGATATGTGTTTTTTAAAGTTTTGGCGTCTTGAAATTGTCAAATGGCAAAGACATTCTTGCGAGAGGGATGAGGAAAGATCAGGTTCCATTGCTTAATTGATTGCGATCTGAAGCACGCATAGAAAAAACTCATCACGGCTGGGTGGGTTTTACTAATTGGAGGGGGGCGTCGTTTTATTTGTGGGGGGGACACCGCTCAAGGGGGGTAGCCTTTCTGAGCTCCCAACAACAGCATGTTTAAATTAGATTGTAATTAGAAATCGATCATTGGGGGATATGTTTTTTTTTTCAGTTTTGGCGTCTTGAAATTGCCAAAGGGCATGGGAGTGCATCTCATGAGAGTTTCAAACATGAGAACCCAAGAAAGTAATGATATGCGAAATCTCAAGTGAGAATGCGTTCAGTTTAGCATGGGAAAACATTAGAAAACTCAGTTGTTCAGGAGAATTGAGAGTAAGTATATAAAAGAAATGCACGAGGTCATCATGTACCAGGAGGTGAAAGGGCGGGCATGACATGGCATTGATCGATATAGGGCAAAAAAACAGCCACCAGGCATGGGAGGGCTACGGCATTCCATGAAGCCACCAAAAGTTATGAGGGTTGGGTCTTAAGTCTTAACAGTGGTTATGGGAGTTTGGCATGCATGAGGGTTCAGAAACATGGGGTCAAACTGTGTCATTTAATGAGGATGGGTTTCATCAGGGTTTCAAAGCATGGGGGTTGGATTCCATGAGAGTGCAGCTCATCAGAGTTTTAAACCATTGAAACATCTAGCTTACTGGGGAAACAGCACCTTATTGACTCTAGTATTGGCCCAAAATAGGCTTAAGGATCACTAAGTAACCCTGGAAGTTGTAGCCCGAATTAAAAAGTAAGAGGGGGTAATATGGAGTAATAGCAAATTATATACTCCCAAAAATTTGGGGATCCCGGAGGGGCTTCGCTAATTAGGGGGTATTAGACTGTTATTAGGGGGGGAAACCGCACCTAATTGACTTTAGTATTGCCCCAAAATTTTCGGAGGGAACGGGCTTCGCTAATTCGGGGGTTTTATTAATCCTACCTTGGCATTAATATTGCATTTTTATTTTTTTTTGATAGCACGATCTTTCCATATTTGCGCATCAGCCTCATGACCGGCTCAGCGCAGCGGCGCCGCTGAAAACGACCACGTCCATTGAAGTGGAAACAAGGGCTGCAGACGTGATTGCCATTGTGGCACTTCTCTCCTTCTGTTGTTTGTTTGCACACTTGGAATCTGAAAAGTTGCCCAAAATAATGCCACAGTGGGGATCACTCGAAGTAAAAAATTGTTTTGCCTACAGAAACGAAGGCCCCTATCATATCATATCTTATATAATATTATTTATTCTTATTTAATACTCTATATGTCATATGATGTTATATGCAGATGCACAGACAGCATGTTCAATAAGTGTTGCTGTTTGTTATTTGTTTTTCTCACGCTATCCACACTCAAGTTGGGCACAATGGTGCAATCCTGTACAGAGTCGAGTTGCTTTGTATGCATTGAGCCAGCTAGTGACACTCAGAACGGTGATTGAAACTAATTATGTGCAACAGAATGCAACAGATGTTCACTGGGGAGCGTCAAATTTGACAATTGGAAGGAACTCTTGGATAGCAACTTCAAATGCAGCTCTGGTGGAATGAGATGCACACCCAACTTGGATGGAGGTTTGTGGCTTGTCCTAAGCATCAGATCAAAAAAAATGCCAGAACGTGTCAGAAGTTGCCACTGAAACATACTATATATACCATACTTCTCAACCCTTAGTGTAAGTTTTGACGCCAATGTTTCTCCGTTTTCATGTCCCAAGATATGTGCTGCAATTTGTTGCATCAAAAAGATTTTCGAAGATGCGAAGGAGGCCCTCAGAGAGCCTCAGAACTAACATGGAAAACCCGCAGCATATCGTCCAGTCCAAGTTTTCCAAGTTGTCCAGCTATGAAGTCAGAGGTACTGCACGCGACAGTATGGCGGGGTTTGTACACCGTCGGGCGCCCCAATCCTAGTCTGACTTACATATTATATATATATAGAGGTAAACGCGCGCACACACCTACACACATGTTGAATGTAGCATTTTTATTGTTTTTGTTTTATCATTCCCTTGTCATCAGTATATACATCCAATGACCCTCCCTTGTTCGACCTAATCATGTTATGTAAGTTATATGCATTATGTTTACTATTTGTCGGACATGATGTCATGTTGAATTGGGAACATGGTGAAACTTGAAAATATAGTTATGAACTGTCCTTACATTGTTGCAATATTGCATTAATTATATCTATTTATCATGAATTATTCGGGTTCATCATGACGAACCTCCATGGTCTATGATACCAGAATCAGGTGCTTCATCCCAGGGACCAAGGCGTGCCATTGGTGCATGATTTCAGTGTTTGATTTGTTGCTTTAGAAGCGCGCTAAAGACAAAGAGTTATGCAATGTTATGCAGAGAATGAACAAATGAGAACATGCTAAAGAGATGCAAAGATTGTAGGTGCTTAGATTCCAGTGAATGGCTAAGTGAACAGCATTGCATGCCTATTTCTGATGCAATACCTTTGAGCCTTGATTCGCAGGTTCCATTTCCGGCTGCAAACACCACTCCGACCTGCCCGTCCAAAATCTCAGAGCGAGAGAACTGTGCAAACTCTGTCGCGGCAATGTTTGTTCAGTTCGCAAGTGTTCAATCTATCATTTGCCCACCGCCACAGCTACGCTTGCAGTAATCGATGATAGTGTGACTATCTCTAAGTCATTTTTTTGCGAAGCTGAAATACTTCGCGAGTTCGCCTATTTCACGAGGCTTTTGAGTTTCCACTTTTTTTCGCGGGTGGCTTTTTGATGTTCTTTTGCAAGAACTCGAGCTTTCGGAAGTGCAATCCCAGTTCAGTCCACGTTGAACCTTCGGGTTAATTACAACAGTCACATCATAGCACCTTCTCACGGCTGGAAGATGAGCACCTCGGATTCCCATTGAGGTTCAACGTTCTGGCCGAAGGAGGATACACACCACCTGCAGGGACCGAATGCTTTTTTGCTGCAGAAAGCACTAGAAAGCGGAGGCATGTTGTAATACGTGTAACTATGTAAGAATAATGAAGAATATAAGATATGTAAGTGCAGAAAGAGGTGGCATTCATTACAGCGGACTTGCTGGCAACCAGCCATAACTTCTTCACACCCAGGTAAATCCAGAGATGCGGCAGACATTTGCTGCCTTTACAAAGTCGGTGGTGCCTGCAGCCAGCCGGCTGATGGACTGGGGGGGCTAAAAGAAAGCCTTCAGTCACTTGTGTAGGTTTGAGAGTGCAAATTCGCTTGTGCAGAAATGTGCAAACACATACAGACAGAGAGAAAGAGAGAGAGAGAGAGAGAAAGAGAGACAGAAATGCGCTGACATGAGTATGTGCCGATAGCTTTGCTATAAGCTTGAGCTACCATCTCACATAAACGAGTTTTCAAATTGACACAAGTTGACAAAAATACAAAATATTACAAAAAACGGCTGAGGAATGCGTGGATAATCTTCGAATATCTTTGAATCATGATTCCGGTCTTAACACTGTGATACACTGTTCGTGCAATCATTCTGTGTCGGAATATGTTTACCGTATGAAGACGCAGCTGAAATTTCATCCACTCGAATCGAACCTAACTGCAACTTCTACAACTCCTGTAATTAACATTAATTAACCAATATATTATATTGACTATTGGCACATTGAATCATTGATCGTCAAATCTATTCGTCCTTTTTGTCCATTTGCCTACTGTACCCCTTGCAGTACTGTATGTCCTTTCCATTTGGATCCCTTGCAGGATCTAGTGCAGAGCTGTCGGCCTCAGGACCCTGGGCATGATGCGTCAAATTCGATCCAGATTCGATCCTATTTGTTTTGTGCTGAAATGTGCTGATCAATTTGAACTACAGAGAGATCAGAGAGTGTTGCTTTCGTTGCTTTTGCTCCCTTGGAATGAAAGGCGCTCTGCCAGTGCTCTGCCAGTGCTGTGCCAGTGCTCTGCCAGTGCTCTCTGCCAGTGCCCTGCTGTTTTCCGCGAACTTTTTCTCCATTTTGTTCATGTTTGTTCCTTTGGAAAAGGTCACTCTTCATCTTCCAGATTTCAGCTTCCTGCGAGGCTACATAAGCATGATGGCAGCCAGCCTGGAGGAGAGTTTGACGGATAAACCTTAGTAAACCATTCCAAACCATGTTGATATGTTGTAGATTGTGCAAAAATAGATCTCTCCCTGGTGTCCGGATGTTGCTGAAAGATGCTGAAAGTAAGGTTCCGGAATTACTGATACAGATACGGGGGTCGTTCGCCGGTTCAACTGAGGTGCATGTTCCGCGTTTTGCTGCGGATTCAACCTGTTCGCACTGCGGACATGTAGGGACATGAATGGGTTCGACACGTGCCGATTGCAGGATCCTGAGCACATGTTCAACTTTGCCAAGCGTTGGATAGAGGAGCAGAGCCAAAAAGCACTTTCAAAGCTGCACAGCCAATATAAGTCTGCGTCTCCAACTGATGGAGTTTTATAGCCTTCCTTACAGTACTTGGCGGAGAGATGCCAACTATCCGTGATGTTTTGTGTTGTTTGTTTGGTGAATTTAAATAATTTAGCACGTAGATGTTTCGACTTGTTTGGGGAAATACTGGTGCACAAGCAACATGTGCAGCTTGCAGTGAGAACAATTTTGTTCTGACTTTTGACTACGATTGCAAGCCGAAGCAGGGGATGATTGACACTGCGTTTCTCTTTTCTCTTTCAGCGCGAACTTGGCAAGATTTGAGTCATATGTTGAAATGTTGCAGTTTGTTGCAGTAACTTGAACAGAGTTGAAATCAGACGATTTTCCTTTCGCTGTTCGAACTCTAGACTCTGATGGTGGTTAAACATTTTTTGCTGATGCTGATGATGAATTCAAAGCTGCTTTTGTTTTGCACCGGTGGACAGGCCATGGCGGCCATGAGTCATGAGATTCCGCTTCCATCCTCAGCCATGCAAGATAAGATAAGATATAAGTATCTTGAGTATGTTGGAAATTTGTTGGAATATATTTGAACAAAACACATGCTTTGCCGTGCTGCGGTTGCTTCCATTGATCACTCCCTGTGCTCATTTGTTTGCACACACAGGACAACGGCGGCAAAGTTGAGAATGAGGACATCGCCCAAAGCATGTCCAAGCATTGTAATTCACAACACGGGATAATTTGCTGGTGTCATTTTGTTCCGATTTTTTGTCACTGGACTAGCTTTTGCAAAATAAACTGCCCTGAAGTACGGTAGAATCATGTAGAATCTATGCCAGTGAGCAGGTGCCAGATCTGTAAAACGCAGGCAAGACTCTCAATCCATTCTGGTCATTTTTTGCATTTTTTGGGCTAGGATTATGCCTTCCTTGCAGGATCAGCTGAAGGAAGAAGCATATTGGCTATGGCAGGTACATCCTCCAAAGAGATATGAAGAGGACTTCCCGATGGGTCAATATGTGTCAGATCCCATCAAGTCATAACGACTAAGTTCGTGTGCCGCAGCCAGGGGCACGGGCAATGCCAATTTATACAGTGCAAATATATGCAAATATGTGCAAATACTCAAGGAAATGATTTTGTTGAACATGCATTCAAGGAATGTCTAGGCTGGCAACTTGGCATCTCCTTCATCCTTTCTCTGTGCAATTTTTAAATGCATCTGCTCTGGGAGGCTTGGAAGGAGTTCCAGGCGAACCTCAAGGCTGGGCATACTCAAGATAAATTAATTAGCATATAAATCATATAAATAGTAAACATGGTAGATGTGGGCATCATTTTAAAGGATAAAAAAGGAAGGTGTGACTTGAGCTAGGGACGCCTTGGGGATTGAGCTCCTCTCACCATCCAGACACCTTGAGAATGGATCTTTTCCTTTTCGGTAGCAAACACGTTGCGATTGTTGTTGACTTTCTTGATACTGTATATGTTGGGTTCTCGATGCTGTCTAAATGACAGTCTAACATCGCCCCTAGTCATAGTCTCTATTGAGACTCCTGATTGAGCAAGACTGGCTCTGAGACTCAAAGCTGCTATGATTGTTCAGCACGGATTTCGAATGGCCATGGCAATGGAAGTGGAAGAATCAGAAACCAATCGAATCTAAAGAACCAATATGCCATACTGCAGCATGTTGCCCATGTTGCCCTCATGGCATGCCATGGCCAGGCCAGTACTGCTGTGAACTTTGGCCCCGGTAGTGGCACCGAAGCGCCCGGCCTTCCAGGTGCCATGCAGTGCCGGGCATGGCTCAGCATGGCCACTGCTGTGTATCCCCATGTTTCGTCAGATATGACTGTCAGAGGTTACTGCAATGTTATCACTATGTCACTATATGTTATGGCTCTTGATTCCACGATCCCGTCTAAATTGCACGGTAAATTCAAGCCATACGACACAGTCCTATGCATTTGGGTTGGCTTGCCACCTGCCCTTGTACTGCAGTTGCGGCATGCGCAGAAAAATTACCCGCACCATTTTGCCCGATTTCCATCGACTTTCAAAGATTCCTTTTGCCAATAGGCATGCGAAGGTGATCCAAGGGCATAACAGCACACCATGAAGATCATGAAGCTCCAGCCAGATTCGCTCTTCCCCCCGGTTGGTTGTCTTTTGCCCTCCTTCATCGCACAGTGGTTCAGGAGACACCACCACGCCCGCCACACCCGAACCAGGCATGATTTCGAACCGTTTGTGTGAGCAAAGTGCAATCCAACAGCTTAAAGACTAGACGCGGCTAGGAATAGTATGGCGAAGGTCCCTGCAGGAGAGTTGATTGATTTGAGAAAGTTGACACCAGACAGTATGAGCAAGGAATTGCAAAACTCTCCCTGTCCGCAGCAAGAAAAGCTGCCGCCAGCTGGAGACAATGCTTTTCCTCAATCTCTTAAATTATTGATAATTATTGCTAGTGAGGAATCAAAGGGATCTTTTGTGCTGATACAAACGGTACTGCAGCATTCTGCCAAGCATGCATTGATCATTGTATGCATGCGTGCAGATTTACATCTTACACTTATTTATGTATAGCATTTAGATGTATATTTATATGCAAAATCATTGTTTGCCATTGATTATGCCGAAACCCACGTTTACTTTTCTTCGCGGCCGACAGGAAAGAACAAAGTTCACCGTGCACATTATCCTGTTTGGCCCCAATCTCAGATGTCATCATGTAGGCACAACTGCAGTGTCGAGACTTTCCTTCCTGTCTACTTCAATCCCCTAAAAATGCTTCCAACAAGCGGGAAGGCTTCACAATCACATGTTACTGGCAATCGTTTCTATAAGCTGTATAAGCTACCGGGATCTTCAATCGAAACGAAAAAGATGTGCTCAACCTGCTTTTCGTAGCACTTTTTGAAGGATCGAGTGCTTTTTGGGCAAACGAGCACTCTTCCGCAAAAGCACTGTTTTTGGTGCATAAAGCATATATGATTCAAGGCCGCACTCCGAGCGCACAATCCCGCAAACGGGCGCACAAAACCGCACACGAGCGCACTTACAAAAAGCATCCTTTTGAATCCTTTTGATGTCTTGCCGTAGTTGCTGCTCGTGCACTTATTTTCTGAGCGGAACAGTTTTCAAGTCGAGCACTTATTTCATTTCTGCTCAAATTGAGCTCCAGGTAGCGGTAAAATATACAAATATGTGTAATGCAAGGTGCTGAGATTTACTAGAGAGATCAAGCCATCTCTGGACCGACAGGTTTGAATTTCATGTTTCAGTGTTATGTTTGATCTGATTTGTTTATCCGAAGAAGGACAACATAATGTCAGCGAATCTTGATAATCTTTGGTTGCTGCTTAGGATTGCTGTTGCGTCTGTCGGCGCCTGTGGATTCCTTGCGGCTGTCTGGGGCTAAGAGTTAGCAAAATTAACCTAGCTTCAAAATATCAGTGGACTTGCGTCATGATTTTTTTCTTCACCGATGCTACCTCCAGTGGTTTGGCTAAGTAATTACTTCACATCATTCTGTGGGGTACGCACAAATCAAGGATATTTGACTGAAAGGAAGAACACCTTTGATTTCTGCAACATTCCATTTCAGCCCAGTGACCCTTACCACTATTGACTCCCGCACTTGGCCCCAGTCACCTTCATGATGGACATATCAAGAAACACCTGTTTCTTTAAGATCAGCTGGGAATGGGTATATACGGTACACTGTACAATCATGTGTCACATGAAAGGTCATAAGATCCAGCAAACCACAGCAAACCTATCCTGCACTCAGGCCTGGTTTTACTTGTCAGGGACGCCCAGATTCAACAATACAGCAATTCATGCAGGAAAGTGAAATGCTCCTGTGGGAGCATGCGCACAATGGTTTGGCAAATGCGTGATATTCATGTTTCACTGGAGGAACACATGTTATTCGGCATGAGTCATGGCAAGGTTTTAAAAAAAACTGAACAAAACATCATTAAAAAATGCAGTCGGCCTGACTCAAGCAGTTAGCATCAGTTAGCTTGCTTTGTTGGTGCGGTCAAACTGAGACGCGCTTGCAAGTCCACAGTTTTCAGATGTTTTCAGATGTTTTGACGGGCATGGGTACATGGTTCTAACATGTTCTAACATGTTCTAACATCTAATATAATGCTATATCTAGCTGTTTTCCCTGGCCATGACCGCAGAGGTTCTGCTCGGCAGGGTTCAGATATTGTTCTTTTTAACGTTCAACTTTCAGACGCGCTACTGTAAGTCTTTTGATGTCTTTTGATGTCTTTTGATGTCTTTGTTTTATTTTAACCTCCTCATAACTATCCTTTTCTTGCTGTACTTATCCAAAGGTGCAGTCAGTGAGTGATTATCGCTACCCGATGTCCCAATCATCTTCTGGAGTTGTGTGCGGTGTGCTGACACGCTTTTTTCGGGGGCGAAGGTACCGAAATCCTCGCCAAAGACGCCAGCGAGGATCCTTTGTGGAAGAAGAAACTCATCGTTCATTGTAAGTGGCCCAGAGACCAGCCAGACTGGACTGGATTGGACGCTACTATGCCATTCTAATTCATTCTATATATATATATATATATGTATTATACCGTACCAGACTACTGTACCATGTACTGTAATTGTATGCACTATGCAAACCATTTCGCAGCTATGGCCTATAGTTGCACCTTCTGACAATTTCCTGACACATATCTGACATGCTCATCCAGTTGATATTGCCTTGGCACGCTGGCAGTGGGCATGATGACATCCAAATGACTGAGCTGAGTAAGTCATGTTTTTGTTTGGAAATTGCCCGCGTAAAATTGTTTCAAGGTTCAATGATATAGGGGCTTGATTTTCCATAATTCTCCATAATTCGCAAGCCCTTCAGACCCACCGACTGTGGCTCGCCAAGCCTGCAACAAAGCGCGTTTTGTTGAACTATGTTGAACTTTATTTGTCTCATCCCTGTAGTTTGCACTATCGCAGAGACTAATTATGCCCTTCACGCCACCCAGACAAGCCAGAGAGGGTTTGGCAAAGGCAAATGACGCGAATGTGACTCTGGACGGCATGTGATCCGGACGTGTATAGTTTGCGTGTTTGTCATCATGTATAGCAATTGTTCGTGCGGTGTCTGGGGCGCTTTGGCTTGTCATCATGCAATCTCTCAAATCTCTCAAGAGAGATCAAGAAAGTCTGACGGGGGTCAAGACCTGCGCAGCTAGAATCTTGCCAGTGCTACCAGAGGCTAGGGTTTCACACCCATTTAGTCCTGGAATCGTTTGGGCAGCTTGCGAGATGGGCGCAAAACAGCGTATGCTCACATTTTTGCAGCTCAGTGGCATCATCACATATCTTCATATTATATTTTGTCATAATTATTACATTTAAATGGATTTAAATGGTATATCTATATAATTATGTATGATAATTCTGATAGCATTTCTCGACTTTTGCTGCTGCAGTTATATACACTGCGAAAATAGGAACCTACTTGACACAGCCCAACTGTTTATCATTTTCGACCGGCCAACATAATAATATATCCCAAGTGTCTTCCAACATTTTTCTGGCCATTTTCTCCAGGTGCCACCACCACCTCCTGGTCAGTCGCCTTCCTCCTGGGCATGTGGCTCAAAGGGCTGTTTCTGAATGTGTGTGTCGATTGCATTGTCCCAGGATCGAGGAGCATTCGAAAACAACAGGAATGTCGAACGAATAATGTCAACATGTATTGACATTTGTCAGGTTGTATGGGTTTGAACCCCAATAAAATATGATAAAATAATATAAGATCCATTAAAATCCCAATTCGCCAATTCACTTGATTCGCAAGTTGTGTTGGCAACTTGTGTTGACTAAGGTCCCACCACCTCCGGGACCACCAGGGAGCTGATGAACTGACCGTCGTGTGAAGTTCAGGAGATGCTGGCAGCCAATACCTTTGAGATCCTTTGAGTAGGGAAATTGTGTGGGCAATCATGAAGGTATATCATATCATTATGCAGTGCGCTTTTCATCCTTTAGATGACATGTGACAGCATGCACCAGTTTGTATTAAAGGTACTGGACCTGCCGGCAAAATCTCACCCGAAGCCGCTCCAATATGGTGACGAATGGTGCGTGTGGCGCGCGACAAAGACTCACTATTCATGCCTGTTGCATTGGTCACTAGTTCACTTATCAGCTAGAACGGTCAGAGCAGGAACGATGCAGAGTGCCTTGCATCGAGTAGTTGGCCGGTTCTGTTTTCTCATATTGTGTCTTTAGAATACGCCCTTTGTGTGCTCTTTTTGCGGGTTGACTTGCCGCACTCTTTGGCTACAACCCCCAAAACTCAGCAATGATCCAGACAAATTCATTGCCGGAGGGCAGTGAGCCTTCTCATCAGCCACCCCTTCCCAAACACCAACAAATTCACAGAAACACTCCAACACCTCCAGCCCCAACTGAAGTTTGAGTAATATGACATGCTATGTGTATTGTTGTGGTTTTCTCATTTTTTCATACCCCATACCTTAAGAAATTATTCCAGGGGTACCCTGACCCCAAGGAATAATTTAAATGGAATAATTACGGTGGAATAATCACTTTGTGCTGAACTGTCCGCAACACAAGAGGAATAATAATTATATAATATTATATAGTTGAGCAGTATTTAGCTGCAAGCAATGGAACATGATGGAACATATTCAGTCATCATTCAGCTTTGTTTTGAACATGTGTTGAGATATGAGTAAGACATAGATTTGATAAGATTTTCTTAAAACTGAAGATTCAGCTTGAGACGATCAGAGTCACAGCTTGGCACGGCTTGGCACAGCTTGGCCCCATGGGAGCTCTCGGAGCTCATGAACTCCTTGCTGGTGGGGACCTGGTCGCTGATCTCCTCCGAGGTGAAGCGCTGAAGCCATGTTGATTCTTCGCGTATCGTTTCGTTCGTGGATTGCAGAATGCTGTACACCATATCCATATGGTATATGTACTGTACATGTGCATATAGGTACCACATAATTCTAAAACTATATATAGCATATTATATGTTGTACATACTAATTTATATCAAATTATAATATCTATTTAATATATATATATATGTGTGTGTGTGTTGATTATGTTGGCATCCCACTTTTGTTGATATGTTGCATAATGTGGTTTTGCATCTAATTTTGCATGTGTTTACCTTGTGTTCAGAATGCTATTTGGCCAATCAGAGTTGAAGCAAGGAGGTGCTTTCTCGAGCACGCCGTGTGAGCCAACGTATCCAGGGCTTTCTCGAGCTACTGGGAAGAAATGGCGCATAAAATGTCCAAGGTGAATGAGGGAGAGAAGCTACAAAAATGCATAGGTACCGAGAATGGGATAAGATAAGACATGATAAGTATGGAGAAGCTAGGATAGATTCAGGTAAATAAAACAAAACATTATTCCATGGATAGATCAAGATGGATGGATGAATGGGTGTGTAGGTTGGCCGGCTTCAAGTGTGTTGAGCCTTTTTTATCCTGCAGGCCGTCAGGTCTATTGTGCCTGTGACTCAACGACCTTTTTCATCGGTCTCTTTTGCGCAATCAAAGGCAGAGTGATGATGGGTCCTTGAGTGTTGAGGAGCTCAGCCTTTTGGGGCTGCTCAGTTGCACTAGGAAATTCGGAAAGACAAAAGAAGCAACAATTTGTTTTTTTTTTTTTAAGCACGGTGGTTTTGAACATGTTTCAACATGCTGTTGTCCTAATCACTTTCTTCGCAGAATCGATCAGTTAATAAAGTGAGAGCACAGTCTACTCCAAGAAGTTTGAGAATCTGTATATATAATTATATATATTTATATTAATTTGCAGGAAAACCCAGTGAGAAAATCTTTGGTCAAGGCATCACAGGAGAAATCTTTGCACCCCCAACATGTGTTTCTATCCGATAGACATCAACCATTAGGATGATTTCCTTGGTACTGAGATGTGCTGAGGCTCAAGAAGCGAGTCGAGGGTTTAGTACCTTCCTTGAACTTCCTGCTGGCTCAGACGCTCAAAAGAGACTCTTGTGTGCAACAGGACAGGGATCGGGGATGACTCAGATGACTCAGATGACTCGCATGACTTGGGAGTGACATGGGAGTTCCAGAGGGCGTCCGCTTCGAGCTGTCAAACGTGCCGGAACGTTCAAGAAGCCAGGGGAGTAGTCACGGGACTTGCTCACGACTTAAAGCTCATGATTCTCATGATCTCAAAATATGTTCTTTGAAAGTAGAAGCATCAGGAGACTGCGTCTTAATCATTAGCTTCATTGCCTTCTGAGACTTGTGAGATAGTTCGGAAATGCAACCTGACCAGGTTGTGCAGAATACTCAAGACTTGCTCTTTGACGTTTGCAGCTTCGCGTCGCCCTTAGCCTCATGATTTGGTTCATTTTCCGCTTCTAGCTTCAGCCTTCGGCAGGTACGTAATCAATAAAGTGTCGATAGAAGCCAGAGCTGATTGATGCAAGTTCAGGTTCTATGTTTGCTATCCTGATCAGAAAGTTTGAAAAGTCAATCTAGTACGATATAATGATATTTAGAATATTTTATAATACTCTATGGCTTTATTGTTTTGTCTTTCTCTATTGCACCATGCGCACAAGAGCTTGTGTCCATTGGGGTGTCCCCTTGTTGCTGGCGATGGTTCCTGTGACGCAACGCACATTGAGTTTTGGGAAGGTTGAGCGCTGCTGTCCCGACAAGTCCGGATCAGTTTGGGAAGCCCAGGTGCATCCAGGTGCTGCTTAAGTTTAGCAAAACTAGCACAGTTGAAACTCATAATCTACTCATCATATCATATACCAGTTTTACGCAATGAATGCCTGGCCGGGTGCGGCCGAAACAGTTTCAATGCATAGCACATTTTGTGAATCCACGCCGCTTGTGACCTGATCCTAGAATGCATTCTCCTTCCTGCTGGCTCACCAGTGGCAGATCGGATCAGATCGTGCAACTTGAGCATTGGCCGCCAACCGCCATGGCAGGTCAGCCAGGGCCGGGTTTAAGGTTTGTTGTCAGACATCCTGCTCTATAATAATGTAGTTTGATCCAAAGATTAAGCAATGATGATGCCATTACTGTAATGGAGATGAACAAAAATGCCACTGCTATCCAGTGCTTATTGCATCCAGACAACTCACTCATAACATGACCCACATCACAGGGGTTTGGCTGCCCTTTTTGCACATGTTCATTTCCATGAAGAAGTTAAGAAGCCTTGGGTAGAAAGATGTAGAAAAACAGTTGTCCATTCTCTTGCTCATCTTTCTCCCTTTGGCATCAAACTGTCCAACGTCCGAGTGTTCTCTGACCCAGCAGAGTAGCTTTGCTTCCTTGCAGGCTGGCGGCCATTCGTAGCTGTTGCATCCATAGTGGTGCTCTTCTTCGGGCCAAGGCAATGGATGCATTAAATGGGAGATATGTACAGTGTGAAACTATCTGCTGGCAGCGACGACTCACGCCCTTGGGCGATTGTCGCAGTTGAACCCATGGAAATGTGACAAAGCCAGTGAAATGCCATGCAAACACAGGCAGACAGACTCTTGCCAACATGCATGAGTCGTATCATTAATGTTGCTCGTGATTGCAGGCGGATTTATGTCTTGGCAAGTATTGGTAACATATTGGCAAGCATTAGAAAACCATTCCGTGCAGTATGCACATTATTAATCATTATTGCACATTATTGCACATTGCTTTCCAATGCACTGCATGGCCATTGTGAAGCTCTGGATGCTCTGGATGCTCTGGATGCTTCAGTTGATGCTTGAGGCGCCTTGCATCTCTGGCTCCGCTTCGGGGTCACGTTCTAACAGTGCCAGTGGCTCCAAGTGGTTCGACAGAAAGCGCACCACAAATTGGCGTGAGGCTCAATCACTCTGACAAGTCGTTCCCTTGCGGTGAGGCAAACAGCTAAGGTCGTTCGTGAGATGTGGCTGTTGAATGCTGTTGATGTGTTTTGATTACATTTGATGATGTGTTTAGCGTAGGTTTGCTGCGTTGCGTTGGGTGATCTTTTGAGCATGATATATGATGATATATGATATTTTGTTTTTCCAAATTTCCAAGTTTCAATCTATTTGATATCGCAACATTTCCATGGCTATTCGACTAACCCATTTTCGAGCAACGACTTTGACCCCAGACTTCAAGTGAGACCCCAAGAGAAAGAATAGTGAAATAATACATCGAATATACAAGTGTGTACAATGATAATAAGAAAGTAAGACAATGACACAACAAGGTACATATAACAGAAGGAAATAAGTACCGTATCAATTGACGAAAATTTGATTGTCTTGGACCAGCCACTTGGACCTGAGGTGATCAGCAGGATCTTCGTCAGCATCGACAGGACCAAGGTGAGCTGCAGAAAGCATAGCGTGGCCAGCCATTGCTGCCTTTCTTGATAGGTATTGAATGTCAACATGTTTCAAGTTTCAACCATTGAATGTAGCTGCGCACGAGATAATATAATTATGTATAATTATGTAAATACCCGTGTTACATAATCCGTCATAACACAGACTAGACAAAATTGGATCTTTTAAGTGATCCATCAGGAACTGAGCCCTATAACATGCAAATTAGATAAATTAGTCAGGAAAAAGGTACTCCGAGAAGACAATCGCGATCATAAACACCATCAAATAAAACGAAGACATTGACAATAATCTCAGTAGGGTTCTTGGCTTAGCCCTTCGCCATATCCAGACAAATACAATGTAAACGTAGTTCGAAAACGACGTGAACGAAGATTTCAGATTGCGACAACTGTGTAAAATCGAAAAAATATGTTTGTTGGGGTTCTCGGCTTAGCCCCTTGCCATGACGGTCAAAAGTGCAGGTACACGCAGGTGATCAACCTTTGCTTCCCCCATTGTGGAATAGCTTCGTTGGCACAAGTATCCACAATGGGCCTGTGCCCCCTGCAGATTAAAAAAGGAAATTCCTGGAATGTAAAATGAAGTCAACGCAGAAGTTTTACATCTGTTCAGATGGTACACACACACACACCCTCCCGCAGGAGGGTGAGGCAATTAAGGCCTGGACAGATGAGGTGAAGATGAGGATGAAGGAAATGAAAGTGAGATGAGAATGAAATGAGGTGAAGGTTACTTAACCAGGACGCGAAGCGGGGAACGCAAAAGAAGAAGGAAAGAGCAAACACCAACACCAACACACCTGGCCCGGAGCGCGCCAACCCTGAAAGGGCAAGTGAAGAGAAAAACGGAGGCCGACGGACACGGAACAAGACCAGCGGAGGGGGGGAGGGGACGGAAACGCCTGAACCAACCTAACAAAGCGAAAACCTACGCCTACCTCGGCACGCGCAGGACCCGACCTACCTAGGGGGGAAAAGGAACGCATGAAATTGGGAGTCAAAAAATGAAAAAAAAAACACTGCAAGGACTCAGTTCGACCCTAGATAATCGTGCATTGTTCCCAAAAGGGACCGAAGTCAAATCCAGCCACATGGGCATAAACGGCTTTTCAAGTTCCAACGAATTAGATGCGCGATATGTTCAACTTCACCAGAAAACCATTAAAAGCAAGAAAGGCCACACCTGGAAGGCAAGTACCTGCCTGCAACATCTGTCATGGTCATGTGTCGCTTCAAAAGCTTGAGCTGCAGTGAGAAAAGGAAGTAAGTTTCTGGCTGTTTGCACGGCTGTGATCAGGTAGAAATGAAATTTTCAGGGGCAGAGTCAGCAGGAAGTCGCATAAAAGGCAGAATAACGAAAGGCCAACTGTTGCACTTTACTTAGACGAATTACCAAATTAAAATTGTCAATTCAGAAGTCAGATCTGTCCACATTCTCCCTAAAAAGGGATGCCTCAATTGGCTCCATGGCACCATGTCGGAGCCACCATGGAAATCACACTAGACAAAATTGGATATTTTAAGTGATCCATCATGAACTGAGTCCTATAACATGCAAATTAGATAAATTAGTCAGGAAAACAATAATCCTAGAAGCATTAGTCGACCAATGGGAGGTACTCCGAGAAGACAATCGCAATCATAAACACCATCAAATAAAACGAAGACATTGACAATAATCTCAGTAGGGTTCTTGGCTTAGCCCTTCGCCATATCCAGACAAATACAATGCAAACGTAGTTCGAAAACGACGTGAACGAAGATTTCAGATTGCGACAACCGTGTAAAATCGAAAAATTCTGTTTGTTGGGGTTCTCGGCTTAGCCCCTTGCCATGACGGTCAAAAGTGCAGGTACACGGAGGTGATCAACCTCCCCTTCCTGTGGAATAGCTTCGTTGGCACAGGTATCCACACTGGGCCTGTGCCCCCTGCAGATTAGAAAAGGAAATTGCTGGAATGTAAAATGAAGATAAATGAAGTCAACGCAGAAGTTTTACATCTGTTCAGGTGGTACGCACACACATTTATATATATATATATGCACATACATATGCATGCTTAATACACACACACATTTAATATAACATTTATTTATTTATTTTTTTATTTATTTATTTATATGTATCGTACACACATATTATATATATATATATATATCCTGTATTATATATATATGGAATATTGCACTTTTCAGATTATATATGATTGTATATATTAGTAGATGTGCAATGTGCAGATGATTTTTGATGAATATGTATGTATCTATGTGCCGCGTATCTATGGGATTCTATGGGTTCTACATACTGTGCGCGCTTGGCTCAATGATGTTCAATGTGAGGGAGAAATCAGCACCGTTCCAGTTTTCTCGGCATTGGCGCTATCGGATATTGGTAAACTGCAAATCCAAGCTGCTCTTTTTCTCAACGTTCAGATTCCTTTACTTGTATATAGCTGCAGAGACTCCGGACACGGACCCACGCAGGGCAGATGCACGGCGGTATGTAGCACACAAGACAAACAATGCGGTTTGATGCGGCGTAACTTTACCTGTGTTGAAAGTTGAAAAGTGCATTGCCATCAGCTGTTGAGGAGGAGAGAGAAGTAGAGCGTCACGGCGGTGGACGGTTGCAGGAGCAGCTGGTTTTGGGCAGAGTTTCTGGCAGCAGTCGTGCCGAGTCCCTTCATGTTGCCTGGAATTCAATACCCAATTAGGAGCTGTTTGGGTTGCTGGGTATGGCTAGGGTTTTTGGGATCTTTTGAGATAAAAAGGTGGTCGTTTGCAGTATATTTGCAGTACTATGACTGTGATTATGCCACAGTTTGGGGTCAAAAATGCTGAATTCAGGCGCAGCTGTGCTGGGAGTCTTGACTTTGTCGACCTTGGCAAGGCACCTGATTGACATGAGATTGTATTCTGAACCTGGCTCTCTTTGGAGAACTAGAGCGCTGACAGCATAGGTCGCAGCATGTATGCAGCTAACAGGAAGAGCGATGTGTTTGTTTTGCTCAATCAGACCTTCATGGCTTGTCGGCTTGTCATGACATGGCATGACTTCAGTTCAGGGCAGCTGGTCCTGAAGTTGACGTGTACTTCGGTTCTGGGACCTTCTACCGCTTGCAGCATGAGTTGGCACTACACTCAGCCCTTCTGACAACACAAACTTCCAGTTGTTGCAATAACATTCAGCACATATATGCACATATTAGCATAGCATAGAGTATTTGGGCCGGCAGCCAGATGGACATAGATTTAGCATGATTTAGCATTGCCCTGGAGTTGTATGTTGCAAGGATGATATTCCTAAACTTGGTACTAGGGCAGTTCCCAACCGTGGTCACATGATCGATTGGGAGCCGCACGAGTGCATATGCGATGTGTCAGTTTCAGCAGTGGGGCATAGGACTCAGTACTCAAGTGGAGTCAAAGTTGTGCTTCGCCCCAGGTCATGAAGGAAGCTCTGGAACTTGGTAGCCCCTTGAACGTGACAGGAAATGACAAGGGATGAGAAGGATGATACAGGAGCAACAGATAGCAACTGAAGGTGCTTTCATGGTGTATTGCAGAAGTGTCGGTGAAGGATTTCTGCGCCCCCTGACATCAGCACCCCAGGGTCAGCCCATTGGGAAGGAGATCAGCGGCTAGATGTAGCTATGCATAGCTAGAAATAGGATGGATAATGATGGATATAGGAGTATACTCGGAGTATGGGACGTCATCACTATGACCATCACCTCACTTGCACCTCCGCTAGTGCGCCCATCATCAGTTCGCATGTCAAGAGACTTGTGGCTGTGGAGAGTGTGTCGGATGCGTGCTGAGGACGGGAGGGCGACATCACAGCCTTAGCTGGCTATGCTGGTGGGAAGAAGGCTGGCCCTTTGGAGCGACGCTTGGTCCGATTGGTATTTGCTGTAGTCAGTTTGAGCCATCACAGAACAGTATAATAGGAGAACATATGACAATATGAGAAGAAGGTGAACAACATGAGAAGCATCAAGACGATAGTTGCAACATGTTGGGTAGACGGGGGGGTTTGCCCAAACTGTATGTGTGTTCTTCGTTGAGGTATACAGAAGGGCGGGTGGGGGGGAGTGTTAACGTTCATGTTCAACATTAGCGTCACACATGATGTATATTGGGGTGGGGGGTGGGGGTGGGGGGAGTGTTAGCGTTCATGTTCAGTAGTTAGCGTTGCTACGTTGAAGTTCAGGGGGTTGGGGTGGAATCTACTGCTACGTTGAAGTTATCTTCTCTTGCACTTCTGTGGAATCTACTGCTACGTTGAAGTTATCTTCTCTTGCGCTTCTGTGGAATCTACTGCTACGTTGAAGTTATCTTCTCTTGCACTTCTGTGGAATCTACTGCTACGTTGAAGTTATCTTCTCTTGCTGCACTTCGGTTGAATCTACTGCTACGTTGAAGTTGTCTTCTCTTGCACTTCTGTGGAATCTACTGCTAAGTTGAGGTTATCTTCTCTTGCACTTCTGTGGAATCTATTGCTACGTTGAAGTTATCTTCTCTTGCACTTCTGTGGAATCTACTGCTAAGTTGAGGTTATCTTCTCTTTGTCAAAGGCAAAATTCATCCCAGCAAAGCATACGTGGATACAACTTGGCTCACTGAATCGGCCTGAACAGAGAAAATCAGAACCGCGCGATCCCCTGTAAGGGTTCATTTCAGCATGTCTTTTTGTTAAAAAACACATGTTGAGATGACAGAGATTTGGAGTATGATATACATTGATAGATGATTGATGCAGTGATCTCAGATTCATTGCAAGACATGAAAATTCGCTTCCCGCTATAGCGACATAGACATTTTTGACAGATTCCACGTCCTTCAGTCATCTTGACACATTGCAGTGCATCATGATCATCTTGAAGAAGGCCCTGAGATTCGGGCAAACCCCCCCCCGTCTACCCAACATGTTGCAACCGACAGGGCGCAAGGTGTCACACTGTGTTCATCAGTTGTCGGTTATTGTTGAGGTGTAAGCCGAGATGCTTGTCCAATTGTTGTCAGTTATGATGACAAGTTATGAACAGTATACCTGCATTATATTTGCCATTTTGTCTTCAGAAACTACTGTCACAACATTTCCTTGTTTCAAACAGGAAAGATCTTGATGTTTGCAAATAAAGATTAAGGTTTCAGTGCAGTTGCCAAAGCTATGAAGGGAATGCGAGGAAAGACTTCAGCATCAAAATGTCATCCTTGGTTTTGAGTTGATCGGAGTGACCGAGTGACCCTTCATCGTTCATCTTGCGTAGTTGAGGATTATGCTACAATGGTCTTTTAGGCGCACCAGACCATGTTTCCCTTGGACATGCCCAAGCGGTGCGACACTTGCCTTATGGGAGTGCAAATTGGGAAACTGATCGCTGTAAGATGGTAACGTTGCAAGTCCATCTCGCTTGCTTGAGGTCTAATACCGACAGGATGGTGCAAGTTGACCATTGACCCTCAAGATGTTTCTTGAGATTAACATGATTCAAGACAGAAGGCCGATGGTGCCACAAGGGAATCCGATGGAATCCAGAGGGGAACCAAACAACGCATCCGGCAGCCAAGGAGTCACGTTGCCCACGGGCAAAATTTCAGACTTTACCAAAACCTTTCTGGAACAACTCAAGGAAAGGCAACTTGGCTACAGAAGATTACAGAAGGTTGCAAATGATGCCAGCTTTGCACGGTGCCTTCTCACTCAAGTCCGCACTGATACAATTAGCCTGGGTTTCCAAGAGGGCAGAAGATGGTAACTCTTTGGCAGCCGGACTGAACGCTCTTTTTCAATCTACGGGTTGAACAGTTGAACTACGAAAAAAAGGTTGAACCTGTGACTTCCGTTTTCAAAAATTGCGACATGATTTCCAAGGATACAGGCTCAACAAGGACCTCAATTTCGTGCCTTTGCTGCCAATTTAAAACATGTCACCGATGTGGGGATATGTTGCTAAGCAGGGCATATGACATCATACAGTCATACAATGTCATACAGCGCACCGCACAAGGACTTCAAAGTGGGGACCTGGGAACTCTTTCCATAAGATTCATGGGATAAGTATTTGACCAAGCGGGTGATATGTTGAGGTTTAACAGTCTGTTTTTTACTTTGATGATTTTTGATGGCAAGTGAAGTAAAAGCCCCGCTCGCTTGCACAATATGATCAGATTCACATTGGCCTTCATGTGATTCACTGGTCCTTTTTCATGTGATTTGCTCATTTTACTTCAATCCTGCTCTTTTGGACTTGACAATGCTAATTTCATATCATTTCATATCATTTCATATCATTTCATATCATTTCATAATTTCATACATTTGACTGCACTGCCATTCACGAGATTTGTTCGAGGATAAACTCCACGTAGCTCCACATAGCAAGTGGCCGCTGAGCTCTGAATTGAGGTGCAGTCATAGGTATTCGAGGCACACCTGCTGCGAAAAGGAACGTGGGGAGAAGAGAACAAGAAGACACGGGGAGCCAAGAACTACACTGATCATCACTGATCCTGTGAAATCATCCTTAAAGATCCTTAAAGATCCTTAAAGAACATATTAAAAGAATTGAGGAATGATATGGCATGATATGGAATGATATGGAATGATATATAGAAAGCCACGGAAAGTCAACCGGGGTATATACACGATTATACATGCTTTTGTTTCTACGTTGTTGAGCGATGTTTTTTCTAGACAGTTGGCCTGCAATCTACGTTTAACAACAAGTCACTTCTATAGTAGTTTAGCGTGTGTATGGCTATGGGACTTTGTGCGATTTCTTTGTGTTTGCATTTTTCCACCCCGAATGGGCTTTCTGTCTTTCTATTTATGTTTGATTCCGCTCCTGGCTTGCTGCGTATTTTATCCTGGTCTAAGTCTGTATAATAGATACTGTAGTAGTATGGTTCTTTCTTTTCCTACTCACTTGTGACTTTCTGAAGGAACTGTAGGCGCCAACATTCAGGCACTCTCCAAACAGGTTGAGTTGTTTGTCCCTGCAGGTGGCATGAACTCCGAGTACTACCCACTGATCTCAGAAGCTTGTGATGGCCGCTTGGCAAAGCGCAGGTAGCTATTGGCAGTTTATATAATGGTTTGGTTCGACCTCCCTTAACCAGCACTCAGGGCTGGACCCAGAGTGCCAGAGTTTGTACGCAAGTACTGGGTTACCCAGCTTTACACCCAACGCGGCGCATCCTCTCCATGTTTCGCCAAGGTAAAGTGAAGCTGGTCAAAGGAGCCTTCGGCAAAATGATGCAAAATGTAAGTTGAATTTGGGCCCATATCTTGGTCAATCTTGGTCAATCACTTCCAGTTTTCGCAAATTGGCCATTGAGACATTGCCTCAACGAATCGCATGCACTTCTTTTGCAGCAAGCTTCAGCCATGTGCGAGATAATGATGAATAGTGCAGGTACAAAACAGTGGTCGGAGATTGATTGCCCAGTCGGTGCCGTTGGATGAAGGCATCCCTCGAGCTTTGAATCACTTTCACGCCGAAAAATTTGGCAGGAGAGGGCAATGAACCTGACACCTTCGGCACAGACACAGTTTATGTGTGACCTGGCAGAGACCAAAAGACATTGTTGGTGCATGTCTTCGCTTGTGGCATAAATCTAAGCACGTAGGAATTTAGCTGGAATATGAGTAAAATATATGATTTATATTGATTTATAGGGAAGTGAACGGTCATGAATGATTATATTGAAAAAATAATATATAGATCATTCGTCCAACATTAATGAGTTGATTGGAGTGTGTGTGTGTGTGTGAGAGTGTGCAGTAATTACAGGCACCGATACTTGCTGGTAGTTCAGTGATGTTCCGTGGCTCCGATAGGTGCAGCTTTTTTTTATTGTGTAGATATATGATGTAAAGAAACTAAATTCAAGTCATGTATTGTTGAATGTCGATTTTGTCTATCATATATAATTGTATATAGTTTACCTCTCAGAGGGAGCATTTCCATCGCCAGGCCAATGTAAAGAAGCAAAAGTGAGGATTTCACTGGTTTCCAGTTTGTTTGCTTATGTACTTCTAGAGCAGTCGCATCTCATCAGGTACGACTCCAGAAAATTTCCCTGGAGGCTGCAAAGCTGGTGATTTGGGGTCCAAGCTTGAAACGTTATGCCATGCCGTTTCAGCATGCATTTTTGATGTGGAGCAGTCGGACGTGCTTTTTATTGACTTAGGGCAGGGAAGCTAATACATCTCACACTCTGGCTGAAGTGCTGCATTCTCACTAAATATGTTTATTCATGTTTAACCCCATAAGACTAGGGAGGAATGGCCTTGCAGCAACGCTCCAATTGGCTTCCATCCAGGTCTATGTTGTTCCATGTTATTGTCATTTCAAAACAAGCCCAAGGGCCCAATTTTGAGTTTAGCAAGCAGGTTTGAAGCAGCGAGCGTTGTGTTTGTGGCGTCGGCCAGGCCAGCCGAGACAAGCAACCAATTTCGTTCCTTGGCCATATGACCTATGAATACCATTGAATACTGAAACAATACCTATTACTATGATTCCTATGATACAGTGAATTAGATATATTTGTTGCATTAGCATGTGATTGTGATTGCCTCATATGTCGTTCTGCTATATGTACCGTTTGTTGAACCGCCTCAGCAATTTCAAACTCACTGAAAGCCATGAATGCGAAACATATGAATATATAGGTGAGCCCACGATTGTGGGCACGAGAAGGCCGGCACGAATATGGTGCAAAAAATCCAGAACAGACAGATGTAAGAACCTGGTAGCACTTGGTAGTACCCCACATATAGCTGAAAATGAGTGTACGGGGTGCAAACAACAATGTTTCACTGATCCTGGCGCATTGGCTATCGCATTGGCTATCGCATTGGCTTGCCCATGGCTGAGGAGACGATCCTCCTGTGTACTATGACAGGGATTACAAGGCGGCAACAGTATATCACCATTCGAGAAATCTCAGACGTTGAGGGTAATTAGTAATTGCTTTCCTCCATGTCCTCTCCATGGACAGGAAATCTATGAGAAGCAGAATAGGTTGGGGAGACTTTGGCTTTATTTCGCTGACCATTGGGATCATGGCTCTATGTGTAGGCAGAAGTGCCATTCTCATCCTGGCTCTAACCAACAAGAAAAATATATAATATGATTTTGATATATGTTGATTGATTTTGTTCATTTTGATCCTTGATCCCCTTGCCATGTCACGGGTGACGTGCACTCCCACTGTTTGATTCGATCTAAGGATCATCCTTCGAACCGGCTGTCCCGGAGAATGAGGCTAAGCTTGGCCTTGAGTCTTCGAAGCGCTAAAAGTGCTTCGGGGAAACATGCCAACAACATCTAATCCCTACGTGTATAGATTTGTATAGGTTATCCATGGTTATCCTTAATCCTTAATTTCAAAGACAACTCTCCTTCTGTTCGGCTGTTTCAGCAAGTCATCGAGACCCAAGCAACCTAAATGGAGCCTGAAGACAGCGGCAGGAATCACTCCAACATGAACTGGAACCAGGTTGGCAACAAGATAGATGTGAGCGTTTTAATTTCTCATATTTTTTGACTGGAAGATCTGGAAGACCGTCACGGAGGAATGGATGTTTGTGTTGATACGAGAGTGAGAATGAGTCCAGATGGGTAAGCGGACCAAACATGACCAAGCATGACCAAGAAGCAAAACATTCGATAGTGCAAAAGGCTACAGCTTTGTAGCATCACCAGCTGGAAGACTGGTGCAAAGACCAGTGCAGCAGAAGAGAAAAGAAGCTTTCCATGAAGCTTGGATAACGTCGGTGCTATGAAACGTGTTCAGAGAGTTGAGTCTTTCTAGCCGATCCGGTGTGCGCGTGTGAGCAGTTTTCTTTGCCAAAAGTAGCTGCATCATATTGCACGATGGATAGCTGCTCGGATAGCTGAAGATAGTGGATATATGTGGATATACAAGGAGAGCGCATGAGCACCCCATCATTCCGAGCGCGATATTTTGCCACTATCTTTTGGTGCTTAGATGCTTTTAATGCAAGCAGCTCCAGCAGCTGTGGGCAATCCTGTCAGCTAAGGTAGCCAATTTCGATTCAGAACTGCAGGGGGTCTCAGGCTGCAGTTTGTCAGTAGGAATCGGAAATTAAGGACTTATTGACTAAGATTGACTAAGGCTTGGTAAAGCATTTGTCCGATGCGTTGTATATAACTTTTGTCCATCCCATCCATGGTCCCGCAATAGTCAAGATGTCTTGGAACCGCATACATGTCTCGTCATGTCTCCATTCAAGATCACCTTGTTCTGCCTTGCACTTATTTTGTAGAGGATGAAAAGATCATATGCCGTACCAATCAACGAATCTCTTGAAGTATCTTAACATATCTTAACTACACCCCGTGGAACCCTATATACAGTAACGTGATGTAACGTGTTTGAATTTGCATCAACAGCACCTTGAGGTTAGACCACTACTTGAATGAGCTGGAATTTGCGTGCTTGTCCGCCAGACATTTGGGAGGGTTTACTCTTCTCGAAAAAAGAAAATTATTGTTTCATTGATTTATTTGATTTCGCTTGGTTTAGGCCGCTGTTCTGTGTCGATTCTATCCTTTTTAAGCTCAGAACTGCTTGAGCTAAAGCTTAGTTACTCATCCATCCTCTGTTTCTCAGCCCTAGAGCAACCCGACAATTCAAGTCATAATGCTGTAAAATTGTTTGATAGTGTTTGCATATTGTTGAAATGAGATGAACAGGTTCAGTGTGCCATATGGCCGAATGCAATTGTCCACAAACTGGGCGAAGCCGCAGCATTCGTGACAGGTCCGTGACAATGGCTGTGAATGTCCTACATGCTGCTGAGGCTTTAAGGGATGGCATTGCCTTGCTGTAAGATGATTGACCGGGTGATGTCGAATGTGGCACTTCCCTCACCCCAACTGGACAAGCTTGCAAGTAAAGTGCAGCTGAGCTCCTTGTGTCAAAAGTGCTGCAGGATGTCCGAATGGGAGTGGTTGACGGAAGGCACTGAGTTTGTAGTCAATTGCGGTCATTTGTTTGCTGCGAATTGTCCGTTTTTTTTTCTCTTTTCCTGCCCTATTTCTTTTTAAACAACCGGCTGAATCCATGTCAGGTCTTCAGGGCCTGCATTGACAAGTTTGTGAGGTACTCAAAAAGCAGCCCGATTTTGCTTGCCTGTGGTTTGGGCTCGTGCGACCTCACTGGGCGGCAAAGAAAACCCGACTGCAATGATCCGATAAAGATTGATCATGATTAATCTAATTCTATTCTAATTCTCCCATTATAATCCATTATATACTATACATATACTATACTAGTTGCTTCCCCACAAAGCCAAGCAAAGTTGTGTGGCAGAGCTGTGTCAAAGAACCGAGGTTGAGCGCTTCTCAACGAATTCAGGACCACCTGGGTGCAACTTGATCGAAAGGGGCTCTCAACTTCCACAGTGGGAAACAGCAGCTAGGCCGTGCTAGGCCCGTAGCGTCATGTGCATTGTGTACTTTAATTTGTTTGGTTTCCGGTGGTTTCCAGGGTTGGAATAGTTTGTACCTTTTTGTCTCTGACCATCCCTATATGGCCACGGCTGAAACTGTAAGGCCCCGGCCCATACCCTGGACCAACACGGCCTTCATACCCATGATCCAGACATTTGTAAGGGATATGATTCTGATCCATATCTTTTCCATATCTTTTCCATACCCTTTTTCCATACCCAAAAATGATCAAAAATGACGAGATGTACCTGTAACACTGTATCATCAATGGCCATTTCAGGAACCTAAATTGGAGGTACCTACCATATATAAGGCCTGCGTAAGGCCTATGTAAGGGAATATCCCCACAAAATATGGCCTTACAGTATATGGTACAGTACCTCCATTTTAGGATCCTGAAATTCCCATTGATATCAGGTCTGTCTCAGGCCACTTTACACATACCTTTTCAATAGGTCCCGATCAAACCTCTTACACGAAACGTCACGAAACTCACTTGTTCCAAACGTCCGGATCATCGCGAAACTATCCAGACCTGTTTTGCGGGCCATACACATATGAGTATCCAACAAAATGATCAGCGTTTGAAAGTAGTAGAGAGCTGCCTTGAACTTTGCTTGCCTTCATGAAAGCTTCACAACCGATAGGGGCTGACTCAGCACCGGTACCCCTTGATTCCAACAAGTTCCCACCATAATCTGCATCAGGTTGTTTATTTATACCGCAACGCCTGCAAACAAGGCTGCAATCAGATACCTCAGCTAGCTTTCGTCTTGGAGAGCACCAGGCATATATTGTTTGATATTGTTTGCAGCAATTCATACACCATTCTCACCCATACCCCAACCGATACTAACCGATACCCAACTTTGCAGTTTTTCTCACTTGCCGAGACCGTGCCCCACATATAAGTCTTACTGACTGCTACTACTGCTACTTCTTCTTGTGCTACCCCAAAACCAACATGACGACGAAGACGACCACGACCACGACCACGACCACGATGACTACTACTAGTACTACTAGTGTTTATAGTACTACTATAGTATTATAGTACTATACTAGTGCTACTAGATGCTACTATTACTACTAGTACTGCTGACAGCACTTGCTACCGGGTATTATCAAAGAGCGAAAATCTTCACAATGGATAGGGGACGACCCAGTTTTGCTCGTGGCTATTGCGGGGGACAAATTATTTGGTCCGCCGCTCATACAGTCCTACGTCGTACCGAAGTAGTCCACCGCTTGCTTGCCTCTCTGCAGGACGTTTATGGTCATACAGGGGATTTGTCAGCCAGCCCAGGGCAACTTTTCTCCCAGGCCAGTGATTTGGATACGATTGATTTCTCCTAGCCCAGAGAGATTTGACAGTTTGAAGATCCTGCGCAAGTCTTGCTCGCAGGTGGAGTAGCAAACCAATCCTTGTTTTCATCATCGGGAGGTTTTTCAGTGCCAATAAACTGGCAAGAAAATGCAAGAAAGACATTCGGAGAAGTATGCAAATCCTGGTTCGACATTGGGGTGTTCCATGTTGGCTAGACATGGCTAGAGAACGCTGTAGAGTCGGTTTGGCCTTCAGAGTATCTTTTACGCAGTTGTAATTTTCAACATGAATATATTATATAATACCAATTAATACCATACAATTAATATTACATAATATTCTGTTATATTATATAATATAATTCTCTATTATATTATATAATATTAAAATCTTATTATTTTTTAATATTAAAAACATTTCTTTAATATTCTATTATATTATGCAAAAATATGCATATAATATATATATATATAACATTAAAATTATCATTATATATCATTATATATAACCATGATGTTCAGAACGCGCCGGTGCACCCAAGAGAACACGTAGCTAAAGAATGCTAAAGATGCTAAAAACAATGCCTCCTGGTGACTTGTTGTGACCACTTGCTCTCTTGTCGACAGATCACAGTGCTTTTGCACGGCCATTTGGGCCACGAGGCCTACGATGATGGCGTGTGGACGATGCTACTGGGGCCAGCTACCCTCCGCGTGGCCACCTCAAGTCTGTGCGGAATATGCAGAAAATATATGCTGGATAATTATGGATAATTACTTGCATGCCTTCGATTCCTGCTCCAAGGTTTGTGACACCCCTAGATTCTCTTCATGGTCCCAAGAAGTTCCTTTCTCTGTTTGATTTTGTTTACTTTAGTTTCATTCTATTAATCCTTTATATTTCTTTGAGGACGTCAGCGCTATCAGCACTCACTCTTTGGCACCCAACAGATACTGCACGCATTCGTTCGGACAGAGAATATGTTCACATCATTTCACATCATGCATTGTTCTGGTTCACGTTCTGTTCCTGACATTTTCACGCCCACAAGCGAGTTCTCAGGGAAAGTCCAAGGAATGCGCTTTGAAGGAGTGGAAGGAAGCCAACAATAGGACGATCATTGGAAAACACCCAAAAGCATCCAACAACAGTAACATATATACAGCAAGATATAGCTAGAATCACCCACCCCTAAAAATGTATTTTAGGGGGGGGAGAGGTTGGGGTAAAAAAATACATTTACCGTTCTCCAAGAATTTGATTCCCCAGGGCCCCCCCTAAATACAGTATTTGACCGGTGGGTGTACGTTAAATGTAGGATCCATGGGTCGGGATATCCCACCCCCCCCCAGGATCTTTTATTTTGGGGGGGTGGTTTAATACATTTTACGGGTTTGGTTTTTCCAGGATCCCCGGGAATGTTTATTTTTTTTCTGGGAATACCCTTCTTTGAAAAATGTATTTTAAGGGGGTTGGGTAGCCGAAAAGCACATCATTTTTGGACAATGGAGGGAATAGATCTGGCTAAGGTAGTCATTGGTACCCCCTGCAACGCATACATTTCTGAATATTTAAGATCAAGTATATTTCAGCATCC